TAACAAGACTGGGAAGGACACACCACCCTCCCCGCACCCCATCCTCCACCCAGACACCCCACCAGCCAACACATACTCCGGCTCCTCCGCCCCTTCCCTCGGGTTGGTCCTCTTTCTACATCCTTCAACACCTTCCCCCACACAAGCTCACAATCCGGAAAACAAAAATCTCTCTCATGCGCTTTCCGCCCAATGCACCCGCATCACTACCCGTCGCACAACCCCGATCTTGACGCCGCTATGTCCCGTCTCGGCATGGGCTCCCGATGGAGTCCGGACCGCTCGCCGGCTTCTTCTTGGCAAGCTCCATCCACTCTTTCCGCCTCATACAACGACTCGCCCACGGGCCACTCACCCCATCCGCCTGCAGACCTCTTTTCTGCTCGCCTATCGCCTTCGTCGTCCTCCAGTCTCACCGACCGCGATATATCCCGACGCACTCTTGCGGCAAGCGGACTCGACGTGTCTGCTCCCGAGTTTATACCTTCCTTCGTCAAGGCCCCGCCCCCGCCATCCCCACCGCTCCACTCACCCCCTCGCTATCACCGCGCTGCCTCTCCAACCGCATTCCCCCAGCTTCCGGCTTTGTCCCCCGCTCACTTCGAGCCGTCTATCCCGCGGTCCCCGCCTCTGTACGAGACCATACCCTCCCCGCAATCAAGCTTTTTCCATCCTGCTCATCCTCAACCCCACGTCATGCCCCACATTCACCAGTACCACAACAACCAAAATTCCTACTTACACTCCCCGGATCAGGACCCCTACTTTCCAGCGTCGCCGCAGCATTCGGGCCGTCCGTCTCACCTCGATGAAACTACCTACGTCTCTGCCGTACAGCATTTTGACGAGGAATTCCCGGCCCTGGCAAAGCACGAGACCAACTCTCGAAACTCTGCCACTGCCAACGGCCGCTGGTCTACAGACCAAGACAAACCCAGTCACAATCACCAGCAGCCTGTTAAGGTCGTCCAAGCCATTTATCCAAAGGCTCTTGGCTGGAACGCCATGCAGCGCGAACAAGAGCGCAAGAAGCTCGAAGCCGAGGCCACTCGTCGCTGGCAAGCAGAGCTGAACGAATACTTCCAGAACGCAGACCACGAGTACGACGATGTCTACGATGAGGAAATCCACGTTTCCGACGACATTGGCGCCCTCTGGGTTTCCACGGGCCAAAGTGTCGGCCATATGTACCAATCCATTCGTGCTAAGGCCGCGGAGGAAGCTCGTCTCAGGAACAAATACTTTGACAGGGCCGCAGCAGCTTTTAAAAAGAATGACGGCGCAACCGCAAAGCGCTTGGGCGCCCTGGGCCGCGAGGCCAACGAGAGAATGAAAGAGCTCCACAGGCAAGCCGCGCAGGCAATCTTTAAAGCGAGGAACCCACGTCATGTCCTAGACGTTGTCGATTTGCACGGCTTACACGTTTCTGAGGCCCTTGAGCGACTGCCGCTTGCCCTGGAGAAAGCACCTCCGGGAATACTCCGAATCGTCACCGGAACTGGACACCACACAAAGGGAACGGGGCGCGCCAGGCTCAGACCGGCTGTTAAAACCTGGCTCCAAGAAAATGGCTACTTCTTCGAGGAAGTCGTTGATGCCAATGAGTTTGTTGGCAGCTTCAAAGTGGAGATAGTTAGATAACCACCTCCCATCCCATTGTATAGAACCCACTTAATGGCTCCCTTCCTTGAAATTTGCTCATGTAAATTAGATCAAACACACTCCACACCGGTATTGATACCACTTTCACTTCGTTGCACAACCTCTGTGCCATCAGTGTGCCACGATCTTCTTTTTGATATTTGCTTGTCATGCCTCGAGTTGTTTCCTGACCGTTGCTACCAGATACACAGCCACACAATATGGTCGTTCCAGTGATCTTGTTCTACTTCTCATGTCAGCAGTTTGTCTACCCCCTCGACCATGCTTGAAACGGAGGTATCGGCTTGTTTTGACGAAGCACTGGTCTTTGAAGATGGCCATGAGTGTCCGTTGTTGCAACGACGACCGAGATGAGCTTCTGGAGCTTGTCCAGTACCCTTGGGTACAGTACATGCGTTTTTGCCTCGTGCCAATCATGTACAGCATTTCTCAAAAACCATGAGAAAAAACTTTGCAGTGTACAGCACTGTACCCTGGGTACTGTACACGTACTACTGTATTGTACTGTACCATAGACGTCATATCAACCACCTGAGCATAACAAATCCGCAAGAGGCGGAATGGGGCGCAACTTCCGCACACTGGCTACGTTCGACGTCATCCCCGTACAAAAGTCGAAACTCTGCTGACTCGAAGGCGAGAAAATAGCGACACACTCGGTTACGCTCTCCGTCATGGAAACTGCCTTTCTCCACTGTGGAGTCACAGGGCTGCGAAAGACAAACTTTACAAAGGCAACCGCCTTCACTCCACATAGGCACCACGTCAGGTCAAGAAATCTGCAAGTAAAGCGCAGACGGTACTCTCCTCCGTCCATGGTCTGGAAGCCACAAGGCCTTCTTCAAGAGGCTGTTGAAATCCAAAAGCTCCAGGTGGAACTCATGGAAGAGACACTAACTGAACGACCGGACCATCCCATTAACACTCGCCGAGCGTTTTACGCCCCGAAAACGGATCACCGCTTCTCCCAAGCGCTCAGAAGAAGGGATGGCACACTTTCCATCGTCGCTGCCGTGAAGAGGATGCAACCAATGCCAGTTGGAGAAAAACCAGAGGCTGTCGCAGAGCTAGAAGATCTTCCTCTGGACACAAGAGCGCTCGAGTGCAACGGCGCGGACGCAGCGCTCGTGTACACGGATGCCATGCGCTATGGCATTGCGCTTACCGAGCTGCCGGGCATCGCAAAGGAGCTTAAGGGATCGACGACTGATTTTGGAATGCCGATAGCGCGCCACGATCTCATCATCGACCCGGTGCAGATAGCCGAAGCCGGAGAGTGTGGTGCATGTGCCGTAACTATAGTGGCGGGCGCTGTACTCCCAGATCTGCTTGAATTGCTCAATGCGGCAACGGCAATGGGGATGGAGACCATCGTTGAATGCCACACAGAACTCGAGCTTGACCTGGCGATGGAATGTGGGGCGACGATTGTGTTTTTAACAAATTTCGATCGAACACGGAATCAGCTGGTGCCAGGGACGGCGGAAAAGCTAGTGCAAGACGTACCGCCATGGGTGCTCAAGCTTGGGGGCGGGGGGATTGAGGATGCGCGCACTTGTTGGAATTACCTTGATGCTGGATTTAACGGAGTTGTTCTTGGGAGATGTCTCCTAAGGTCGAGGAGACCGTCCGGTTTCATGTCGGAGATTCGATCGCAGAAACGCGTCACGGGTGATATTTTCTCTGGCGCATTCGGTAAGCCTTTCAGCGAGGAATTTGAAATGTAAACGCTGACTGGTGGTCTCTTCAAGATGCAGTTTGATCAGAGCCGCGTAGCCCTAAGCAGATTGTTGTGCTGCGGTAGCGAAACAAAAGCCCCATGTTGCTTGCACGAAACTCCGCTTTGGCTCAAGCTCGTCCCATCAGTGTGTTCTTGAATATGGGTACATAGTTGCAGGACGCCCATTTCCCCATGCCCAATTTATGGTAGAACAATGGGGGTGGATATCGGAGCAAACCGCAATGGGATCATGATCACAGGTGTCAACGATGTGAACATTCAAAGGCTGTACAGTAATCGTCCTTTTTTGAGATTGATTTTTCCAAGCGAAATGGGCTCGACTCTATTCATATCGCTGAGCCATTCAAGAGTCTACGTCGCTGAACAGTAATCTGCGACATGAATCTCCTATCCGCTGAACCCTGCGTGCTCCTAAATGTCATGGCCTCTTAGCTTTACTCGGTTGTAGCACCGCACCACTAAAACACACGCTCCCCCCCCATTCCGACGTGATGACATTCAATTTTAGAAACGGTCGGAAGCGCGTCAAGATGCGCAGCACCTGTTTTCACCCTCCATCCGTCTTTCTGCAGCCGCGCTGTGATGCCGGCGGTTCATCTGCAAAAGAGTCTTCCGAACCGGCTCGCCGTCCCCGCCCCCCAGCACACAGCCACGGACAGACTTCCGTCATTCTTATGCGGCATGGAATGACCAATTGGAACTACATCGGTCGTGTACAAGGTGGCCTGGACAAGTCTCGATTGAACACCACCGGCATTCTACAAGCTAGGGATGCAGGAAGGCTCCTGCGAAATGTCGCTGTCGACGCCATTTTCTGCTCGCCGCTGACCCGCGCGAAAGATACACTCCGACATGCAGTGCAATCTTCGGAAAACCACTTGCTCTGTATGAGAAAACCAGAGCTCCTTGAATCTCTCAAGGAGATTCAAGTACCTTGGCAGGGTTTATCCAGAGTGGAAATTGGCAAGTCAATCTTCTCCAAGAGCTACGAGCAGTACGCCAAGAATCCACCCCGTTTTTCATACAATGGCTTCAGTCCACTTCGGGATGTCGTGCGAAGAGCGGAGGACGTGTGGGAAACTGTGGGGAGGTCAAACGGCAAGTGCCATTTACTCGTAGGGCATAATCAGGTGAACAAAGCCCTTATCTGTACCGCCTTGGGGTTGCCGACGGTCTTGTCGGCATGGCGGCAAGGAAATTGTTGCTTCAACGTGATCATGTTTGAAGATGGAAGGCCTCAAAAGTTGCGCCTCTGCAATGGAGGAAATCCGAAATTGACTGAACGAGGACATCGTCTAACGAAGGCGAGACAGGGATGTGTACGCGTTGTTTTGCATCACAAACTAGGACGTTCCGAGAGTTTGACGGCTGAAGTGGGAGAATGGGAGGTGGCCCATTTCTATGTAGTTGGTAGTTCTCATGCTGATTACCTCAGGGATGTACACAGGGATTTTTCGGAAGGAAAATACTCCGAACTAGCAGTTCCAAAAACGAAAGAGAGCATTTTCGAATTCGCACTGAGCTGTCTGGACGAATGGCGCCTACAGCATGAGGGGGAAGTTATTATTGTGTGTGTGGATGACGCGATTACAACACGAGCATTCTTCGCGGCGAGCATTGGGATGGGAGCTTCAGGCATGGATAGGCTAGTTTCCGATGCTGGTGGGGTCTCGATTTTCGACATTCGAGCTTCTGGTCCTGTTGGTACGTACACCACCTACGTCGAAAGTTACAACATTGGCGCAATGGGGCGTCGTGACTACCTGCTGGGCTATACGCGTTCCCTTCGGGAAGTGTGTTAATGGCACAATGCAGAACACCGAGTGAGTTCATGCCGCGAATATGCCGGGGAGAAGTTTCGATATGTGTTGATTAAAATGATATTTCGGGCCGTGGTGTTACTGCAGTCATTCCTAGATCGTTCCAGCGGCCCCTGTCCCACCATGAATATAGTGCATTGAAGACATCTGCGTAAACCTCTCTTGCGGCTGAAGACTCGGTTTGCATGTGCTTGTACCAGGCAGCTAACTTAGGTCTCCCGTCTGTTGGATGCCTTGCAAAAAACGTGGGTAACATGAAGTCATAAAATGGCCAATTGCCCCACAAACAACAGTCAGCAATTGAGAGTTGATCACCCACTGCATACGGTCCGTCAAGGCTCAACGTATGTTCAATGGCGTCGAACCCCTGGTCCATTTTCTTGACTCCCTCGGCTCTGTCTGCATCCGTTTTTTTGTACATGTACATGTGATGCGGTCCCACGTATACATCGAGCAAATTTGCTATTAGTCTCGCTTTTGCTCGTGCTTCCGGTGTCTTTGGAATAAAACAAGGATCTTGGTCGCTGAAGACCTCAGCGAGATACTCGCAAATCACGGAGCTTTCGTAAAGGAATAACGGCCCCTTCGGCTCTTCAATGTAAGCAGCGGGCATTTTGCCAAGCGGGTTCATCTTGAGATAGTCTTCGCTTTTGATACCGCCCAGGTCTTTTGGTAGGCTAATTTGGACCTGGTCTTCGGTGAGCTTCTTACGGCGTATGAGATAGCGCACCCTCGCGCCGTAACATGATATTGGCATGGTATACAAAGTCACTTTCGGTCTCGCTGCCGCTTCAGCTGACATTTTGGTTCGAATTATTGCCAGATCTCGTCCAGCACGCAGCTTACTGGCAAGGAATGGCGCAACGAATGCAGACATTGCCTGTCTCGGATGATGGGTAGGAAACTCTGTTGATCTGCTCGTGCTCGTAACCATCCAGAGAGCGCGCAGATCTCGTTGGATTAACCCCATTAAATCAGAAAGTGGCAGTAAAAAATTGCCCAGTCCTTTTGAGCTGCTGAAAGGTGAGCCTTTTCCATTCTTTTCGTTTTTTTTTTGTTCAGTTGCGCCTCTTGATGAAGCCGGCCTGTCTGCATCCAGTGTGCAGAGACCTCTTTCTTGAGTGATACGCCGCAATCTACCTTGTTTAGTCTTGCTTCAGCTAGCTAACAGCAGCGCATCCTGAGGCGCGATTTAACAGCCAATATCGTCCCGTTCCACATCGTCGAGCGCATGCCCGGCCCTGGCAATTGTGTCTCGAGAAGCGTATATGCTGAGTTAGTTGTGAACATACCGCATACACTCAACCCTCCATCCATCTCACGCACGCCACCTTGCGCCTCTAACAAAGAAGGAGTTGATTTGAACCGAACTTCATATGCTTGCAGCGAAGGAGCCAGGCTGAAGAGAACAACTCTGCCTCTTTCACCACATGATCTCATCGTGAAACACATTTTAGCCGCACTGCAGTATATATCGTGCTATGAAGCTCACTACAAGGCATAGATACATTATCAGAAATTGACTTGCCAGCATATCACCTTCAAGGAAGCACCCTACGGGCTCTTCCGACGGTGACTGCGGACATTACAGACTATTACATATCAACATGGATACAAGAAACAAACTATCATCGCAACGACCCCACGACACGCCTCTCCACGATGACCAAGAAAGCAATCCGATGCAAACTCACCTGCCATGGCCTTATCACACACATGCGAAGTAGCAGAGATATTACTGTCCATCCCAGCCGACCAAAGATTCCGGCAATGGAAGGTCGACCTCAGTTAGCCGCACCGGTCGACTCTCCTGGTATGACTTCTTGGCGGCGAGCGCGATGACCACAGGCGCACGTCCGTCAAGACCTGTACATGGAACGGGCTTGTCGTTCAACACAGAGTCACAGAACTCATTGAGCTCGACGATAAAAGAATCAGTGTATCGATCCATGAAGAAATTCAAAGGCAGATCGCGCTTCACAGCAGATGAATTGGAGATGACAGCTGAGTTTTGGTAATTGTTGTTGATGTGGATGGAACCACCTGACCCAAGCACCTCGCAACGCTGATCATAGCCGTACACGGCCTGGCGAGAGTTGTCGATCGAGCCGATGACACCGTTTGAAAAACGGAGGGTGACGATGCTGGTGTCGACATCACCGTACTGCTTAATGGCGGGATCGAGGTTGACAGCACCCAAGACGTAGACCTCCTCGACCTCAGAGCCGATAAGGAAGCGCGACATGTCCATATCATGGATAGCACAGTCCATCCAGATGCCACCAGAGTTCTTGACATACTCAAGCGGAGGGGGTGCAGGGTCACGGCTGATGATGTGCAAGATCTGAGGGGAGCCAATTTCACCCGCAATGATGGCATCGCGAACCCTGCGATAGTTCTGATCAAACCTGCGGTTGAAGCCAACTTGAAGCTTGACACCTGCCTTTCTGACCTCAACGAGAGCCTTGTCGATGACTTCGAGATTGGTATCAATAGGCTTCTCGCAGAAGATATGCTTACCGGCACGTGCTGCAGCAATGATCTGGTCGGTGTGCTGATTCGAAGCAGAACAGATGCAGACGGCGTCCACGGCGGGGTTTTCGATGAGCGTATGATAATCGTAGTACGGTTCACAGCCATGAGCCAATGAGCAGCGCTCGGCCAGCTTGCGGGAGCCCGAGGAGACGCCGACAAGGTTGGCGTTGCGGAGACGGAAGGTGATGTTGTCGGCGTGGACCTGGCCAATGCGACCAGCTCCGATGATGCCGATGTTGAGACGACGTTCGGTTTCGTCCGGTATGACAGCCTTCAAGCTCTCCTTGGGGACCTCCTGGACGGACATGCGGGCTGTGCGCGGGACGGACGGGGAGGCGGCGGGTATTGAGCGGAGGCCATTGGTGTGGCGGTGAACAGTAGGCTTGAGCCAGGGGGAGGAGACGGCGGACGGAAGGACGAATGCCGCGGAAACCATGGTGAGGGAGTGGTCAGGGTGAGGGAGCGGTGAGGGAGTGGTCAGAAGAAACTGGATAGGGTGAAGGTGAGGGGAGAGGGCTACTAATTTACTTGGATAACCTATGGAAAGGGTGAGTGTCAGGGTTGAATGACGTCCGTTAAAAGGGAGAAAAGTGTAATAAGGGCCTGAGCGAAGTAGAAGAAGGGTTGAAACGGATTGGGAATGAGAGAGACGTGAGTTAACACAGCAGAGTTCGGCTCCAAGTGACGGTTCACCCAGTTGGCAGCTTGGAGTGTTCCACTTGGCCCTTCTTCATTTACTGTTACTATACTTCGAGTATTTCGGGCTCTCGGAGGGTACACTTGTTGACATTTCTGTGGGTAAAGCCCCTGCGATGCGGACGGACGCCGGCCCTGAGCCCTTTGATCTCCGCATCCGCCACCTCGTGGCTCACAGAGCTCGCCGTCCTTCACAAATGAAAACTACATCTCAGACCGTATGACGTCACCACTCTGCTCTCCCCAACGTCCTTGCAGCCGCCTCTCGCACCGCCTTGCGCACTGCTTGTCCACAGTCCGCCACCACACCTTCCCCCCACTTGTTGCCGACACATCCGCCTTCAGTCGTCCCCTGTCCCCTGCGCGACCCCTCTGCCTTTACCCAGAGCTAGCACTCCATTTTCGCACTCCATTTCGTGTCGCAACATGGCGTCCCACCCAGCATTTGCAGCTCCACTGCGTCCGCTTCCTACCAAGATTCGTTGTCCCTCACGTATCTGCCCAAATGTCCCCCACATGGTGCTGGACCCCGCCAACGTAGGCACTGGCTACGCCTTTCTCAACGGTTTGAAAGGCGTCGTCATCGGTCCGACCATCAACGAAATTACTGCCGCCATAGCTGGCGGTACTGTCGGCGTCATGGGCACCATCATCACCCTCGAGGTCCGTCGCCAGCAAGTCAAGGAGCGAAAGCAATGCCCCTATTGCAGGGGCAATGGCAAACTACCCTGCGCCACGTGCTATACCGTCGGCGCTGTCCCGTGCGGAGACGCTCTCAGTGCCCAAACAGGCTGCGCCGTGTGCAACGAGCGAGGTTTTCTAGAGTGCAACCACGTGAGTTTCATGCAGTCACATATATACAACTTCATTGGGAAACGCTTCTTCATACGCTAACATGTCGTTTTTCACGTTTTCGATATGGACTGTGCTTTTTCTTTTCCACAGTGCCAAGGGGACGGCCGCTTGATACCATGGGTGTATGAGCGCGCCATCAGCGCACAGTACGAGGACTATACCTATACTGCCATTGATGACTACTACCAGGACGGTCCTCCTTATGTGTAATCTCCAACAACGTGCCGCGCCCTGTTAACTTACTGTCATAACTATTGCATAGCACAAGACTCGGCCATTTTGCCCAATTCCGGAGCCGCCATTCCCGGCATTCCAGGCAGTCCCGGCACTTCCCCATTGTCTGCGTCCGTCGACAGCCCCTTCATTACTTCCGCAGGGGGACTTCCTGTCTCCTGCATCTTCGAAAGCAACTCCATGATCACCCCGGACTCCGCCCCACTCTCATAGTTTTCACAAATTTGTCCCACTAATTCCTGCTGCGTCGTGTATCGACCTAGTTCTTCTGCTGAAAGCCCTTCGGCGTGCTTTGGCAACCACTCCGCGTACGCCTCCCGCATTTGCAGCATCGGTGCCTTGAGCACGTCCTCCGAGAGCAAGTGCCCTACAATAGATTCTACCAACTTCTCCATATTCTGTCCTCCTCCATCCCCACCTAGCCCATTGGCAGCGTCCTTTCCATCGCCTCCAGGCACACCTTCCTTACCGCCGGGCGCTCCCAACCCACCCAAGGAGCCCAGACTTGTCATAAACTCTTCCACAAGCTTCATGTCTGCTTCGTTCACATCCTCCCCTTCGCCCCCCTCTGGCGGCTTGAGGCCGAGGTCTCCCAGCGCTTTCACGGCATCGTCGAAAGCTTTTGTTGCCTCATCATGCAGTTCGGGGCTTATCCCTACTTCATCAGCCGCTTGAGAAGGCTCTTCCCCTGAAGTTTCTAGCTCTGCAGGTGATTTCTCGCCTTTGCCTTCGGTGACAGCAAGTGCAGTTTTCTGGGGTGCGCTTTGGAAGGCTTCCAAGGCTCCGTCGAGGATGCCATCCAGCTCGTCGTCGGGTATGTGGTCAGCCATCACGTCCAGCGGAAGAGCAATCAAGCGCGATAAGATACGCTGATGCTAAGGATGGATAGAGACATGCAAACGCTTGTATCGTTGAAGAATAGGAATACGTTACGACTACTGTCGAACTTAAGATGGAAGCAGGAGCAGACTCCACAGTGAGAGGAGCGGGCTTAGAGCAATCAAGGCGAGGGCTTTCAGATTGTGTTCAGTTAACCGTTCGCTGCTGTGCTCAGAGTGCGGATTTACAATCAGGAAATGTTGCTCGAAAATTAGCTTAATTCAATATTATCCATCAAAATGGCGCTACTTGACTGCTCTGTGTCATCACCAGTAATAATCGATCTTTCACGTCACCAATTCCCTCTTCATGCCTATTCAGGCACTCTTAGAGAGTCCGGAATGCGAGCGATGGTGCATGCAAGCTAGCTTTTGAAGATTGAACTGGACAGAACTGTTCGGATAGTGCCCTCTCTACTCAAACACGAAGTGCGCGTTTCGCAAATTCCGGCAGCACGAAAGATGAAGTATGGATCTCACTGTTGTAGTATTGAAAACTCTCCTGCATCTCGTCGCTAGGACTTCTGCATGGCTCTTTCAGGTTGCATCCCTGCTTCGCACACATCAAAACCCCTATTTGCCCTGATGGGTACGTGGGTATACTCGTAAAAGCATATTCTACGGTCGAATATATTTCCCTACAAGACGCCATGAGGGGTGTGATTAAATTCAAATGGAGCCACATGCATTCGCCTTGCGTCGCCACGATTCCGCCGTCTCGCAGGCTTCTGTACATGCTTTCATAGAACGGCTTCTCAAAAAGAACTTCGGCAGGCCCTATAGGATCTGAGGAATCGGTGATAATGATATCATACTCATCTTGGTGGTCTTTCATGTACACAGCTCCATCCATAATCTTCAACTCAACTCGTTCGTCCTGAAATGAGCAAGACATGGCCGGGAAATATTTTTTTGATGCCTCGATAACCCCCTCATCAATTTCACACAGAACAGCTTTCTTCACGGATGAATGCTTCAGAACTTCGCGGAGGACGCCCCCATCCCCACCACCGATGACAAGAACCCTTTCTGGGTTAGGATGGCAGAAAAGCGGAAGGTGGGCAATCATCTCTTGGTAGGCATATTCGTCTCGCTCTGTACACTGTATCACGCCATCGAGGACGAGCACATTGCCATAGGCCTTTGATCTAAAGACGAGAAGGTCCTGGAATTTAGTCCTCCCATGGTGCAAGATTTCCGCAACTTCAAGACTCATAGCTTGCCCAGGCCATAGTGCACCCTTTTCCATGAACCATCCATCCTTTATAAGATCAATGCCTATTACGCCCATCCGTGCGGGGTGAGGGATTAAGTCCGAGGATGATTCCTTCGCAACTGTCAACAAATGATCTGCTTACAAGTTTGGCTTCTCAAGAAGAGCAAGGTCAGATATTTAACGGATTGCACTCACCAGTTATTTCGTGGCTCGGTTACTCACCGTTTGCACAGAGTTGATACGGGTATCAATTCTGGTCGAGGACTTCTCTTGCAACTTGGGCAATTTTCTCCTCCTCGAAACAACTGAGTTTGTTGACACGACCGACTACCAAAATAGAATGGATGACGACGCGGACGCAGCGAGAAACTGTGAAGTAATCCCAAAGGCTACCGGCCGTGATTCTGCGGGCCTCGAATTTTTCTTGCTGTATGGAATGATACACATAGCTTAGCAACATTCAGGTTAGCGTGGCTACGAGATCCATACCGTACAGCAGGCTTCAAAATTGTTCTGAATATATTTGTTTCTGCAGACCAGACCACAACTTGAATGTTCGCATGAATGTCTCTCTCTAGCTAATTTAGTGCTTCGTGGTCTACTTCTCTCCTGGCCATTTATTCTCAATTGTTTTTTCATAAAAATTGGCCGCATCTGAGGGCAGAGGTGCACATATCATCACATTGCATCTTAATTCCCTCTGACAATAGAAACACTTTTGACTACGAGTCTCTACCTACAACACTTGCAACCAACCGCCCGTGCGAAAGTAACTTTCACAAAGCTGAACACGCGGAGAAGATTTCGACAGGACTGGGGGCTAGAAAAATGATGCGTCCAGCGTTTGTCAACTTCACCACACATCGACTGCCAAAAGCGTCGCAGCAGATTCGACGAGTTGCCTGTTCCACGTCACGCCCGCAAGTAGTTGCAGTCTCTGACATGCGAATTGGGCATGGCTTTGATCTACACAGACTGGAACCAGGTCTGCCGCTTATTCTAGGAGGCGTTGCTTTAGAACACGATCGCGGCTGTGCGGGACACTCGGACGGTGATGCTGTTTACCACTGCGTTGTTGACGCAGTTCTGGGGGCTCTTTCACTTCCAGATATCGGCCAACTCTTTCCAGACACCGACTCACGTTTCAAAGACTGCGAGTCCCACGTGTTCATGACGGCTGCCTACGAGCGCATGCAGAAGAAGGGGTTCAAGATTGGTAACATTGATGTTACCATCATTTTGGAACGGCCGAAGCTATCTCCGCATAAGGCCCTCATTCGACAAAATATTGCAGATTTGCTGCATGTCGATATTGAAAACGTGAATGTGAAGGCAAAGACGCACGAGAAGGTAGACGCCATCGGCGAAAACCGGGCTGTCTCTGTTCACGCCGTGACCCTATTAGTGAGTGATCATGAGACGGCGGCGCCGGCCGCTGCGGAAGTGATTGCCGAGGCATCGGCTGGAAAAGCGGTTACTGAGCGACTTCTTGGACTTGTAGGAGATCGAACAAAAGCAATTCAGAATGTTACTCAAAATGGCAATCGCAGTTCCACTCCCATCCAGAATCTGTACGACACGGTCTTGAGTCGGAAAGGAGCGGATCCGTCTTCATCCTGGACAGCTAAACTGTTCTCAAAGGGCCGGCAAAAGATTGCGCAGAAGGTAGGCGAAGAGGCCGTTGAGGTAGTCATTGACGCCACCTCTGACAACATAGAGGGCGTGATCAAGGAGAGCGCAGATCTTCTGTATCATCTGAACGTGCTTTGGGCGGATGTCGGTGTCAAGCCAGACGATGTTTGGGCCGAACTAGAGTCCCGAGAAGGAACCAGCGGAATAAAGGAGAAGGCATCCCGGCCCGTATGATGTGTTCCACTACAGCTTTAGGTTGAATTAACGCAATGTCATGTGACGACCCAACGGAGAACATAGCAATTGGAACTGAAGTGTTTCCTATACCGCTACACGACCTGTACTTTACATATCTGAAAGTTACGAAATCATGAGAAACAGTTGGGCTTTGACATGTCGGCCGCATCCAGCCACATAGATCGATCACATCATGCCTCCCTACAAGTCTTCTCAAGACATATAAACACAAATAGAACGGCGCTGGCTCGTCGCTTTCTACAATAATGAATACATCCTAGACTTCAAGTTCGTCGCCAGGGAATCGACAAACCATGGCAGCTAAGAGCTTGCTGACATCGGCAAAATGACATCACGGGGAAGGATCAATTGGGGCACTGTTTCTGCGTGTCGGAAAGATACTGACAGGTCTTGCTCGTCTTGTTGCTGAATGCTCTCATCAGAACGCTCATCAGAATCAGAAGTTGGTGTATCCGAGCATCGCGAGATTTCTTGGTCACTTTCGGAAGTGCAAGTGCTTCTTTTACATGATACCGTCTCGTACTTGGTCCGGCAAACAGGACAAGAAAGGTTTGGGTCTCTTACAAACCATTGCATAAGACACTCTGTGTGTATTGGATGTTCGCACGTGCCTTGGCTAACGGGGATTCGGCCAAAGTCTTCCAAGCAAACAGGACAGGGAGCCTTCGCGATATCTTTGCTCGGAAGAAAGGAATAGACCTGTGGAATATCAATTTCAAGATGTGTCGCCTCCGGGGGTGTCTCGCTGAACATGGCTGCGGCGAGTTGTGCCCTTCGAATTTCTCGGAGGTCATGGACGTCTCTTTTCCGATTGCGGTAGACGCCGCAACCGAGACACATGATGAGGAAGAACAGGGCTGAAACTGCATAAATGGCGCTCAGCTCCGCCTTTGTAGGGGTGAGATCATCTTTGCGCGCAGTGACTTCAAGCGAAGTATCAAGTATAGGGCGCCCCCGGTGCCACAGTAACATCTCGGCCGGAGAGACATCCGGAGACGATGGCACGCGGTTGAGATGTGAAGAGAGTGCGGAAGCAATGGCGAGATACGAGCGGGGAGTGAGAAGGATGCGACTTAAAATAGGAATTATTGCGGGCAGCGTTGAAGTGGTTGCTGAGCGAAGGAAAGTGATATCGACTGAAGCTGTTCAATGTACACAAGTATTGGTGCAAGGCAACAAAAGACACAACTGGTGAGAAAGAAACAGATGTACGTGAGATGTGTAACATGCGCGCGGGATATATATAGTGGAATCATCCAGTGGTGAGTGACTGGTTGCTATAGCGGGCGATGGGAAGAGTGTTCCTCACCTTCACAGTGTTGGCGTTCGTGGGACATGCGGCGGTGGCAGTCGCGCTGAAATGATTGGTGGAAGCAAACACGATGCAAAACTTGTTAGAACGCCTCTCTCAGGCATCGGCCCGACTAATCCCGCCGCTTTTGGGGAAAGTAAAATCTCGTGGTCCACATCCAACCAGCGTCTGCCAGCAACTAAAAATGTGCATGCCGTTGTCAAGCAGGAACAATGCCCTCAAGAGCAATTCTCTGGGTGCCCGGCAGTCTCGGTCTTATTGTTTGAACACCATGCAATCAATACTCTTCCAGTAGCTGGCAATATTGTGGCGAGATACTGTCGAGATTGGGGATGCAGTACACCCTTTTCCTACTTGTTTTAAATTGGAGTGGATTGTATCCAGCTGTGATGTACCTGCGACAGCGGTGCCGCACAACAATTCTAGTACAGGAACGATGAATGCCTCTATCCACTTTTTTTCGCAGCCGGTCGAGCTGCTTTCGCCTCCAGGACGAGCTGGCAACGAATAATCTTGGCGTATGTCCGAACAAATCAGTCTTTATACTTGAAAATTCAAACCTTGAGGTTCGATTGAACATCAGCAACAACCTACGACTATTTGGCAACATGAGTTCTTGTCGCCAGGCCAAGCAAAACCCTAAATAACAGGCATTTATACTGTGGCTACCTGCTTGCTGCCGAAGTGCTGCATTCAGCACTTTACTTCATAGCTCCGAGGCTCATGCCCCTGTCATCTCTTCTTTTGCAGTCTGGCTTTTCGGCGGACAACATTGAGAGCTAGCTTTCCATTTTTCCTTCAGGGTATTGTGTAATTTGAGTGACAACTGGACAAAATGGAGCTGCTACGGGCCATTGCCAACGCGGGATCTCCACATCTAGGGTCACATGTCCATCACTATGACAGCACCCTATGAAGAGTTCCGGACAGTACAGCTATTTTCGGAATGCGACTAATTTCTTCATTAGCGGCCTCTCCGACTTGTGCGACGAAGGAATTTACATGCCCTTCTGTCGAACATTCTTCGGCGCCAAACTCGATGCTCGTGATAGTCCCTCGTCGGCAAATGGCTGTTTCAAATGTGACGTGGGAGACTCTATTCGTCGTACGACCATCTCTGTATCGACAATTTACGTGGCGAATGGCAAATGGCATGGATGATCAGTGGCTCTGCAACTTGGAAAGGCAAAAGAGACATTTCGAGGTCAATTGTCATCAATCATCGTGCGGAACAGCAATAGTTGCGACACGTCTGAAAAGGGCATTTGCAGGCAACTGAAAAGATTGGACTGAACATGCAGAGAAAACTTCAACACCAGAGCCCCTTTTTTCGAGGGCGTGGTACTCACAATACTGAGCAAGAGGGAATCGCACTATCCACTACAACTCAAAGTGGTATGCCAAACACATAAGGTACAGCATAACATCTTCGCAAATTTGATGTTGTGCCCTCCCACCACCTCATTTTCCAGAATATCCTCTACAATATGTCTCAAACTGGGTACACCTGTCGCCGATACCAGGGATGCGTGTAGAACCCAGAAGGGAAGCATGTGGCTGCCGTAAAGCTTCTGAAATGCCTGCCTTCATTCGTAGCTTCGAATATGTAGCAACCATGCAGCGATATGCGGTACGACTATTGAGCAATCACAGTCATGACATTGGAAAAGCGCATAGTGGGAAGACCTCATCCACATATTTATTCTTTGAAAATATGAAGATAGCTCGCATAGTTTTCGACCGCAGAGGACAGGTCCCTACGAAGTACTGCCATATTTCGAAGAGCTCGTCATTCGACGTTGATGAGTTCTTTGAAATATGGCTTGATCAGCTTTGTGGGGACCTGTCCGCTGCGGCAAAGTCCGTTGATCCTTGTCCATTCGGGTAGGCTATTCCATGATTTCGTAGCGATTCATCCATGCGGCTGAAAGGGTAATGATACGGGTTTGCCGTTGTACGAAGGTTATACGTGAAGAAGCGTAGTCGATCATCATCACTTCGTGGGGTGCCGGTAGTCAGCTGACCTTGCTTTCTCCAGGTCCTCAATCCGGAAAGTTGTTGATATAGGTGTTCCACAAACTGGCACACAGCCTCTGCACGGCAACCGAGATACGGGGATATGTTAAATATTTCGAATCACCAAACCGATTGTTGGGGATGTCCCCGAGCATCGTTAGTACCGAGGTGAAAGCAGCCCAATGGATCCTGAATAACACTGGTCACGATGAACCGCACAGGCAGCCAACGTCGTGCAGTTTAAATTCCCCAAACGATCATAGTTTGGCATTCAACCCGCAACTACGTTACCAAGGGTTCAAAGGTGATTGGAAAAGGAAGATAAAGTGTTTTTCCTTGCGCGTGTGCCGCACTGATGCAGCCAGGATTTACCGAAATGGTATGTAAGTCTGGTAGGCATTCTGCCCTTGAGAATGTGGTCGGCCCTGTTGTGGCGGGTACTGGTCTTGGTAAGCGTAATGTGATTGCCCGTTCTGGTCCAAAGGATGCCTGGGTGGTGGTACTCGGTGTAGGGGCTGATTTGAAAACTGTGCATCGTAGTAGTCCTGCTGCAGTCCATATTGCTGTTGGGCATAATGTGGAAGGCTGTTGGTATCTGCAGGCTCGGGCGGAATCCCAGTGTGCTCTGGCGAAGGGGCATTAGGCACTCGTCCTAGTCGAAACCTTCCTTTTCGCAGGATGAAGTTAATAATTACTGCAAGAATGAGAATGATCACGACGATAATGAAGAGATTTGTCATCTGAGAGAAGCCTGACTTTTCGCCAGGGCCGTTGAGAATGAGTTCTCCCTCCTCCTCGCCGGGTGGCTCCGGCGATGGCTCTGGTGACGGCTCCTGCGATGGATCGAAACCGTCGATATCTTCACGAAGGGAGAACGACACCCCACGGGCCTCCAGAAATGTGAAATCATTCATAAGGGTGGTGGAATCGTGCCAGGGGGAGGGGAGGCGGATTACTCAGACTGGTGCGAGGAACGAATGCCCATACAAGGGCAGGCTTGGCTTGGTGGCAAAGACCTTAAGGCCAGGGTAGTGTTAGGGGACCAGCATCCATGGATGTCGGCAAGTCCCGTGTGAAGCAGGCAATGTTGGGGCGCGGAGAAGTTGTAAGGATTCGAGGGGGGGCGCCGTAAATTTTCGCAGCAATAGCAGCAGCGTTGCTTGATGACAGGTTCGAGCAACTGCGGCATCGTACGTATCACGTTTCTGCATTTGTTGTTGTACCTGTACAGTAGACTACTGTACAGGTACAACATAATGCAGTCAGTAGTTGAGCACTGCCGTACTGTACGCTGTGGGGGCTGTATACATTTCCATACGCCATCACCAGGGAATGGTTTAGAAGGGTACAAATTTTATTCAAGAATACAGCACACTGTCTATTTCCTTATTTTTCAACACAATTTTATGGCATACTGCTGTACAGTATCGCCCTGCCTTGTATCTTTTTACTCCCTGTTCTGTCGACTCACGCTCAGGTCGTAGTCCTGGTTGGCTCATCGTCAGGGCTACATCACTTTTGGAACGCTCGTGGGAACTAAGCGTATGGAGTAGACAGTGCAAGAAAACATCTGCAGCGCCGTAGTTCATCTCCTATCGCGTTGCAAATGTTTATGTTAAATGTCCAGTATTCCGATAAAAAACCATCTATTCACGCATGCGATGTTGACACGTAGTGACCTAATTTTTCTGAACTGTGGCAGAGGAGGAGCCGACTTTCTCGAACTCAATGGTGGCGTCATAGTGCTTCCGCATCCCGTGACGGATACCTCCCCGAAGCAGACGGCCCCCGCATTTCAAGGCCATATCCAAAGCCATTCGCCCCCCCTTCCGTGGTGAACGAGACCACAAACATTTTCTGTTGGCGCTGGAACGGTCCTCGACCAGCCCATTTGTCGTCACTTTCGATCGATGGGGCCTCCTGAAACAACTTTCTCTGCCATGTAGGGCGCAGGGCCTCTTTTGGCTTTATTGCAGGGGGATTTGCGTTGGTAGCTACTGCGGCAGTACATCTCTTCACCGGCACGCCGCATTTAAAAAGTGGTTGTCCATTGATTTTGTTACTTTCATGTTGCTGTCACTCCAGTTCCACAGACAGTTGAATCTCATTCAACGTGCCACGTCCATTTTTCAGAGCAGCTCTTGAACCAGTCTACATTCTATAGCCTTCTCACATGAGCAATAGCTCACGCATGACATGCTGTTTGTTTTTTTTGCTCGGATTCTCTTCCGAGCCTCTGCGTGGAACTTCTCTCTACGTAGCTAAACCTTCCCTTCCCTCCTTGGCGTATTGTTTCTGCAGTTGGTGGAAGATCCGTAACGGAATAATGTTGACATGTGCCTGCTAGTTGCGAACCAAATGCTCTGCGACTGCGAGCCGAGCGTCAGCACTTGAAGTGTGGATTGCATGCCTTCCATACAACTGATCCCATGTCGTGAATACGGCGGAATTTTTAGGAGCAGTTGTGAATTATAAAAGATGACAAAGCAGTCCAACTCGAAAGGCGAAAAGTTCAGTTCTAAGGCATGCGTGTATTCGAACCAGATATTCATAACTGCAAGACAGAAAGGGATTTGTAGTTCACTGTACTGCGTCTTGTGCTGCCGCATACACGCTTTTTGCTTTAAAGGGCACAATCATTTACAGGAAGAGGACGCGCTTCGCAATTTAACCTTCACTACTGATATGACGGATGTATTCTCTCGCCAGGCCTCTCCGTGTATTGTCACGCCGAATCCTTTCATAGAGTGCATTCTGTCATGGCGAAGAGATATATATCTGTGTGTTGGACCACAGCCGCCTTCACACTACTGTCTCGAGCCACGTTTTCCACTGCTTGAAATTCTGTCTACGGAAGCGCAACCCTTCGCCGTCTGCGTTTCGGTCGGCAACAGTGCTTGAAAGTTCTCGTCTCCACCGTCTCGCAGCCTTCTGCATCGTTTATTCAACACTCAGCTTCCGCCAATTTCGCATCAAAACGTGTTTTGAATGGAGCCAGACTTAAGGGGACCGCCCGTGAATCATGAATCAGGCAAGACAAAAATATACGTCACAGTTGGGCTAGCATTTCTCGTGTGGTTGACTTCGGTGCTTATATTTTGTCTCTGGTGGCGCGGATATCTCAGGAGAACAAGAGCTTTTCGTGAAAACGGCGAAGTTGAAGACGGCCAATCCACAGGTGTATCTCATGATCCTCAAACTGAACCAAATCCTCCAGTCCTGGTATGTACCATCCAAGACCCGGTCACTCCTCCTCCTTTGCAAGCACCTCAGTTTCACGGAGATGTACAGCCCGCACATAAGACATCTCAATTGCCGTTCGCAAAAACATCTGCTCCAAGGTACTGGAACCCACTCGGGGCTCCCCTCCCCCAAAGACCGATTTATGGTTGAGTGCCGATATGTTCAGTCGTCTTAGTTGCGCTCACCCAGGCAATATTGTACTGACTTCAACGATGATCGGGTGCTGCCTCTTTGGATTATCTCATGTCAGGAGGGTTGTTGGCCCGAAGACCCGCTTTTTATTTTTCGGAGGCAAGTTTCTGCGCAATCGAACGGATAAGCCATCCAGGCTCGTCGGATAATGGCAGACCTGAAGTTAGTTTTCACAGCCCTCCCTCAACCTACGAGTCTAAGACTTTTCAGGAAGGATAACACAACGCACCCATACTAACTCAATTAACTTGTTTATGTTAGGAGTATAAATCAATACAGTACGAAAAGCGCCCTGTTTTTAACGAATTCCCTGTGGAAGTAAACTCACTGCTGCTCACGCAGACGCCCGGACAGTCAGATAAACTCTCTGCAGAGCCCGTCTGAGATTTTACATGCGGTTTCCCAGCTCCCTGTGCATAGGAGCTCCCCTGCGCTTCACGCTTTTGCTCAAAGAAGGAATGCGTGGACGGCATGAATAATGCCCTCTAGTGACCACAGCGAGAGTGTGCCGTACAATGCTGCTTCCGCAATCATGATGTCCGTCTGGCAGACATCATGATTGCGTAATCAACGCCATATGGATTTCTTCTCTAAATGCTTGCACGAAGAAGTCGTTAACAATTACCGCATGTCAACATTGTCCTTAACGGCCGCAACATTTTTCTTAACGACTCAACAAAGCTCTGCTGGTATACTGTACTCAGAAACTCTATGCGCCTCGGTCTGCACAGCACCATTACGATATAGTAACTATGAGTTGGAGAGCAATTACGAAGACGAAAAAAGGGTTCTGTTGCCAAAATTCCTGAAGGGCAGACTCGTTTGAAGGAAATACAGTTGATGAGCGACATGCTCACATGTACACTTGTACTGGAACGACATGTTCACGAGCCACAAAGTGAAATTTTTGGAATCGGGTTCACCAGTGAGGACGTGAAAGGATATCATGAAGCTGTTTATTTTCTCGAAAACCATTCTCAGTATTACAGTATTACCCACAATTTGTGGGTTTACGCAAGGCAGAATTCTGTACAGTGCTTCCGCCTTATAAGAATAGCCCGTTGGAGAATATCCTCGGTAATAGAATATGATGGCAGACTCCCGTGTTGGGAGTGCCCAAAAAAGGCACATGGAGCAGCATTTTATTCTTATTCGACAAAAGAATAAAAAGTTCTGGATGAGCTCAATTTTGGGGTACAGCAAGGCGTGTACGTACCTCAAAAAGGGGGCCAAAAAGCAATATCAGTCAGCTGTGGCGGCATATGAACATTTTCTCAACCTCAATCCCAGACTATAGACCTGTTCAACATTGCAATTCTGTATCTTTGGTCCGTTCAAACTACTTCGCGCTCCGATAAGAAACCATGAGAGACTTCATATGCACTTTCACCTGTACAGCACCAACTAGACTTTTTTAGAAGGCGCTGACGAGCTTGCTGGACCTTATCATAAACACACCGATAAGAATAACCGCTTTATAAGAATACGGATCCTGTCTCCCGTCCTTATTCTTATAAGGCGGAAGCACTGTAATCAAAAATGAGAAATGGATAAACAGCAATGCAGAAATCTTATTTCTGAAGAGTCATTTTGCAGAATATTTTAAAGCAGTTTACGCTACAGTTTGTGAGAACCAGATGTTCACATCTGGTATACTCACATGAGTACGAAGTCTGACCCTCTGGGAAGTAGTCCTGTCCCTTCGCCAAACTCCCAACAAGATCCCACTACCTCCAGCCCTGGACAAAACTGAGTCCGAGAGCCCCCTCTCCACGCGCGCGGCCTTGATATCCAGGAGGATGGGGCGCCATCTCGCGTGGTCCGGCACGCGGAAGTAGTGGAACTCGGCCCGGCTTGCTGCGGATGAGGGGCGAGGTGGGCGTCCAATCGATGACGGAGGCGTAGCGCGCGAAGTCGTACGCCGTGGCCTCGCGCGAGCGGTGCTCGGATGTGAGGGCGGATGGGAGGGCAGATGGGGCAACAGAGCATGAGGGTCAGGGTGTGCCTTAACATGCCCCGTTTTGAGTTCGAGGGATAACGGCATACTGTAGAACTACCCTTACCCTTACCCTGAAGGGTATTTTGGCGCGCTCATGTAGGACAACTGTTACCGAATTTCTCATACTGTATCTGTTTCTCACGGGTTTTCACTAAAACTGCTCGCTTTTCGGTCACCCGTACTTTACACCTGTCATACGTATTGCAGAATTCTGAAAAAAAACATTTCAGAATTCTGTTTGCGTAAACCCACAGTATTGTTGTTTCTGTCTGTATCCCTCCAATTGCATTGTACAGTAGTTTCGCATTTGTACTGTACCATGGGTACTGTATTCGTGTGTTATGGCAGAGATCAGCACGTTTACATTTGAGATTCAATCTTCCCGACTTGTCCTCCTCCGTCACCGTAAAGCTTTACGGCCGGACATTCCTTTGTGCTCAGTACTGCACTGCACTTCAGTGCGGATACCCTTATTTCACAAAGTGTCTTGCCGCGACCCTGTGGATATCATCGACCTTCGGCGTTCTTTTCTGCTGCCACCATGACATTCGTCATCTCTCCTGCGTCCGCTGTTCTGAGCAATTCCTCCACATCCTGCTTCCAAGGTCGAGCGATTTGCAAACGCCACATAACACCGCTTCACAGGAAGGGAATTGCACAAAATGTCATTGTATGCACCGCGACCAATACTGTCGCAACCCCTCCTGAAAAGTTTGAGAACGAATCTGTCGGAGATCCTAGCACAGCCGATGACGCATGGGAAGGTCTAAAGCGCCTTATCCCGTTCCATGCAATTCGAAATATTATGAAGCCAGGACAGTACCTTGGCAACGAATTTGGTGCTATTCGGAAACCATGGGATGACGCCAAGGTAAGATTCTGTCTCGCGTATCCGGATTTGTACTCCATTGGCATGAGCAGCACTGGCCATGTTGTCTTATATAGCTGCATCAATGAGGAACCGGATCTGCTCTGTGACCGCAGCTACCTTCCTGGCCCAGACATGCAGGAAGTCCTGCAGAAATATGATCGCCCTCTGTTTGCTGTTGAGTCGAAGCGCGCGCTTGTTGATTTTGACATCATCGGCATGAGTCTGATGTATGAACTGGGTGCCACCAATTGTGTCAAGGTCATGCAGCTCGCGGGTATACCGTACACCTGGCGAGAGAGGGACGCCGTCTCGACCAAGTTGCGGAGCGGACCTCCATTAATATTTGCCGGAGGTCTGACCGTGACCGCCAATCCAGAACCTTATTGTGACCTTTTTGATTTCATGAGCATCGGTGATGGAGAGGAAATGCTTCCTGCGATGGGGCGATGCGTCGCTAGGGCCCTTGATGAGAACCCAGACTGCACCCGCGAGGAGGTGTTGCTGCGTCTTGCGCGAGAAGTGCCAGGGGTCTATGTCCCACGTTTCTATGAACGCACTTCTGATGGCGCTGTTCGTAGGATTCGTGAAGACGTGCCCGCTAGGGTACGAAAGCAAAATGCCCTCCCTCAACCGTGGAGGGCCACTGCTCTTGTACCGCTGACCGACCCGGTTCATGATCGGCTTACTGTAGAAGTCCGAAGAGGTTGCACTAGAGGCTGTCGTTTCTGCTTACCAGGAATGGTGCAGAGACCTGCAAGGGATGTGGCACCTGAGGACGTCATTCGAACGGTGAAAGAAGGTGTCAAGAAGACAGGCTACAATGAATTTTCCTTACTTTCATTAAGCTGCTCGGACTGGCTAAGTTTACCGAGTGTTGGCCTTCAGCTGAAGAATGAGATGAAGGAAGAAAACCAGGCAATTTCACTTTCTTTAGGATCTCAACGAGTTGACAGGTTCAGTACAGACATTGCGAACGTTATAGGGGGATTAAGAAGGTCGGGCATAACATTCGCTCCGGAGGCTGGCACTCAACGAATGCGAGATGTGATCAACAAAGGTCTGACGAACGAAGATCTTGCTCGTGGGGTCAAGTTGGCGTACGATTCAGGGTATCAGAATGTGAAGCTATACTTTATGATCAACTTACCGTCGGAAACAGATGAAGATGTTATGGGAATTGCCGAAACTATTAAATGGCTACAGAGAATATGCAAGACTCAAGGGAGACGTAGGCTCTCGATTAATGTGACAATTTCAACCTTCACGCCAAAAAGCTGGACACCGTTCCAGTGGCATTCGACATCTATCGATCAGGTGCGAAGAAAGCAAAAGATGTTAAAGAAATCTCTACGCTCTTCTCCAGACGTGAAGCTGTCTATGACGGACCCGATGCTATCGGCGATGGAAGACTTTATTGGAAGAGGCGATCGGCGATTAGGTGTGGTAATCATTAGGGCACATGAGCTCGGTGCGGGAATGGACGCGTGGTGGGAAGGTATGAAAGATGCATATGATGCATGGTGTGTTGCCATCAAGGAGGCAGGACTGGAATGGAAGTATCGCCAGAGCGAAAATGGGGAATGGAATATTGCAGAGACTGCGGCGGAGGAAGTGCGAGGCCCGCGAGGTTGGTATCAGGCGGCTCGAGATGGCAAGCTAGACCGCAAGACTTTGGCACCGAAGACGGAAGCATCAGACTATGAGGGCACGTCTCCTCTGGATCGACCATTACCATGGGATCACATCGACCCAGGACTCGACAAGGGCTGGTTGCGTGACGAATTAATGCGCGCTCTTACTGAAACTCTGACATCAGATTGCGCGTTCTATGACTGTTCATCTTGCGGCGTTTGTGGGGACGAGATGGGTAACAATATCACCATCGCACCTCCGCCGGTTCCGGAGTATGGCGGTGTGCATATTCCAAGCACTGATACCAAACAGAGGGTCAGAGTAGCTTTTGAGAAGAGGGGTGCTATGTCGCTTGCCTCGCATCTGGACTACTCCCGAATGTTAGACAGGGCCATTCGCAGGGCATCATTGCCAATATCCTTCACGGGTGGGTTTCACCCTCGCCCACGAATCACCATAGCAGCCGCGCTTCCATTTGGGGGCACAGCAGACAAAGAACTAGTTGACTTCATGCTGAAAGAAGAAATTGACGTTTCGCAGTTCAAGCAGAAACTAGACGCAGAGCTCCCGCAGGGTACTCGAATTGTCTGGGCAAGGGATGTGCCAGTGAAGTCTCCTGCCGTTAGTGTATTGATGTGCTCGGCAACGTACGTTATCGCGATTGACGCAGAGGACATGTCCATTAACTGGAATGACGTCATTCGTCGAGTTCTGGAATCAGGTCCGGTCGAGGTCGAGAAAGTGAGCAAGCGTGGAAAAGTAATGACACGGGATTTGCGTAAAATGCTGTACGAGATACGACTGGCATCAACGGAAGAGGCCGAGCCCATTTTGGAGCATGTTGGGCTTTCGCACTGGACTGATTCAACCGCTGTTTTATATTGCAAATTAGAACTCAACAACAAAGGAGCACTTGGACCGGAAGGCCTTATTCAACTACTGAATAAGGTTATCGATACGTCTTCTTTCCAACTTGTTCAAGCACATCGACGACAACTCAATTTGGCAAAAGCCCCTCAAGCTAGTGAAAATTGAGCGGAACTGTGTGTTGAAGAATCTGCTGGCCGGCTGGACACGATAGGAATGTGACAAGGCTTTGGAATGGCAGTAGTGCCAATGTGCACACATTCACAGCCTTGTCTCGCCTGCAGGTCTAAAGGGAGCAACCGTGCGTGTCGACTTGGTCCTTCAGTGATAGCAAAATGATCGCATCTCCAAGCGCATTACTTTTTTCTGATTCTCGAGTAGGATGGGTTGCGTTGGAACTGCGTTGGAACAGCTGCTCTGTCGTCCCCCTAATCAAGCAACGGTCAGCATGGTCGAACACGAGGCCTAATATTACCAATAATTTATATAGGCAGTTTTGCTTTAGAAAGTGCACACGAGTAATGAGGGACTTGTGTATATAAATTCCTTGTCGGCATGAAGCAATGCTGCATCCTTCAATGGCAGGCGATGGTCGTCATCTGGCCAATTGAGTGGAAAGTCTTAAGCATGGCGCGAAAAATTATATGCTGCCGATGAACGATGCCTTGATGCCACACCGTGACTGAGACGCACATGGGAAGCCCAAGACGGAAGCAAGCAATTCTGCTGGCTTCTCCGCACCCAGGTGATCTCAAGGAGTATAGGGATATCATTGAGTATTTGCCACGATGTATTGAAGAAGATGGCTCTCTCTTCGCCCCTTCAGGCTGAAAAGTTCGTCCACATTTGGTGGTTCAGCGATCGCGGCAAAAAAAGTTTCGGAACAGGGTCCTACGTCGCTTGCTCGCGATGATAGTCCGATGTGGATCTCAAGATGCAACCGTAATGTGGTCGTCACCGGGTGGCTAAGCGGTGTCGAGAAGCTGTTACTGAGATTGATTGATGTTGCGTAGTCTGAGAATTGGTGCGACTATCCGCATCTTCGAGTGCAGCATCGAGTTGGTTCGCGGCGTTTTGGACATAACTGACGCGACAAACCGGACATGCACTCTTGGTATCCTTGGCCAGCCAGCTTTTCAGACAAGATGAATGCATGAGATGGAGGCATTGGCCGGTACTGACGGGTTCTTCCTCAAGAGCGCCAAGGCAGATGGGACATGGATTTCCCTTGTCCCTATCTGAGACTTCCATGCTGACTAGGTCTTCCGGATTGAATCGAGGAGTAGAGCGTGTCTCCTCAGTTGTAACGACACGTGAGCGTGCGCCAACAACGTGTTGAGGATATATTTGAGACCAACCCGGAGCATCTGGGATGGCATTAGGCAAATGCATGTTTCTTCCGCTAATATACACAGCGCGAGTCGGGACGGAGATAACATGGGGTCGCCCAGAGGTTCCAATATGTGACGGGGGTGGGAGCTGCTGGTCATTAGTAGTCGAAGGACTAGCTACTGGAGTGGCAACGGGGTGGAGCATGTTGGCCCTTCGACGACGGTAGATGACGTATAATCGTATTAGGAACAGGAAAGACAAAAAAGCAACCACACCTAGGGCTACTCGAAACATCGTAAAAGTGAACCCAGTATCAGCGTCAGAACTATCCTCCGTACCAGACCTACCGCCTGTTGGAGGGAAGACCTGGCGGGATGTAAGGTATGGAAGAAGGACGAAGGTTGGGGGCATCATCATGCGAAGGCGGATAGCCCCTTGCGTTCGCTGTTGGACGGGAAGGAGGCGGCCGGTTGCAGAGTGTTTCTGGGAGACGGCGGTGTTGACGAGGGCTGCGGGGAGAGGAGCTGGACACGGAGGGTGGCTGTTGAGAAGCGCGGGGTGGGGGGGGGTGGGGATGGTAGGCGAGCTTCAACAGACGACGTCGATTAGTGTGGACTACACTCGGCAGCGTATAGGGCCAGAAGCGCGGTGGGCAGGGCAACAAGCCGGGGCGTGACGCGCGGGGTGTGTGTGGTATGTTCAGGTGAAGCAAGCTGCTGGAGAAAGTGCGTCTCGCCTGGGCGTTTCTCAAAAATCACCGAACTTGGTCCACACGCGGCGCATGCATCTAGGTGGCGAACCACAGGCTGCCAAACTGTGTTTACTAATCATTGCATTGTTGGAGCTCCCAATAGGCTTACAGTCGAGATTCTCTTGAAATGGTTACGCCTTAAAACAAGCGTTTCCATGCGACTGTTTCTACCCAGCCAATGTGCATGTCGGAGGTGCAGAGTGCTTACTCATTATTAAGTGCCAGGTCCCACGAAATTATCACCGAAGGACTATGACTACGACGCTGGAGGCAGGGAAAACTCTTAGGAATTGGGCATCAACTACTCAGATGCGAAACCATTACTGCACATAAATCGAAGGGCATACAGTACCCTTCGAAGGGTACATGACGTGCTGGAAGACACTGTACGTCGAAATAGAAGCAAAGTACATTTTAGTTTCGTCACAAATCTGCGATGAAGGGTCCTTCCACTCCTCCTGCGAGAGCTGTTCGCCCGCAACGCCACAAGCTCCATCTCCCGTGATGCGAGCTTCAAAAACTCACCTGCAGTACAGTATCAACCACTGGGTGCATCCAGAAAATAGCACTCTAACACTTTACCATTGTATGATAGTTTCAAAAATTGATTGTCCCCACCACCCTTGCACTCCATCACTGCCCTTCCGTGGCGGTTCCACCCCAGTTGGAACATGTTGCGAACTGTACACCCACTCGCACCCCCACTCGCCGACAACCTCCCCATCCCCTAATCCCAAAGCGAGCCACACCTTCCTCCTCAAACCTGGCGCCCGCATTCTGACACTGTCATCTCAACATGGCATCCCTTTTGGACGGATCCGATCCTCCCTCTCAAGCCAACCCGAACAAATCAATACTTTCCAGTTGCGTACTGCGTCCTCTTGTTTTCGGTCCCCTTCGATAAGGGCTACCGAAGTTATATTTCAATTGTTCCTGTATAAAAAATGGAAGTATACTGTTTAGCAGTAAGGCCTTCGTGATATTTACGGATACAAGGAAGTCGGAGTCTTTCCCGAACGAGAGAAGCACGCGCCAAGGAGTGGACCGCTGTGTGCGAGGGCGAATAATGGCTGGGCGGAGGTACTTTGGGTTCTTGTTGCGATGACGGCGCTTGCGGCGCATTGTTGTCCTCCTCCGGGCGACAAGACATGTCGTCAGAGCTGCTAGCGATACTGCTAGAGCTGCCAGAGTGTGCTTGCGGCTGTTCTGAAAGGGCATTGGCGAAGCGGGCATCACCGACAGCTCGAGAGAGGGGTCTTGGAATGTGGAACTCCAGTGCGCAAGGATGGAATGGGAAGTGGTGCGGGAGTGGTGGAGTGGAGAGGGGTCGAGAGGGCTTGATCAGATGGTCAAAAGTAGTCAGCCGGCGACCACTTTATCGGTCGCTGATTGGTCAAAAAAGTAGTCGAGTGATACAGTGTTATTTTCTGGATGCACCCACTGCAGAGCGAGAATATACCAAGTAGTGCAGTACAAGAATCCACGCTGGTCAGCGAGGTCCCCCTTTGTAGACCGTCTAGTGTCTAGGTGACAAATGACCTCATATGAGGCCATTTGACCTCATATGAGGTCACTTTTCAACTTATTTTTCTCGACTTGTGCTAGCTCAACAAGATGGAAAAAAGATACTCTCGACACGGCAGTTGACTTCTGCGTTGTGGAAGGGTGGAGTTTGGTGAGATCTGCACGTCTTCTCCAGCCATTTTTAAAATGCCCAAAAAGGAGCCTTTTTTGACCAACCTCAAAAGGTTTTATGTTGATATCTTCACAACCAAAACGCCTGTTTAAAAAGTCAACTCATCATTGATACTTCATTAGATTCTTAGTCTCTCTGTGCATTGAAAACCGCCATCCCAATGTTTTGCAAGATGTTATTGCCGAGCGCGTATACGTTAAAGAAATGGTGTCCAAACTGAATGTTTTAAAGTTTCGATTTAATTTATATATTTTTGCAAAAAAAAAGCTGGCCTCATATGAGGCCATGACTGACCTCATATGAGGTCAAATTGCTTGTCGTCTAGACACTAGCATCAATTAGCCCTCAAACTTTCTTCTTCGGTTCATGTGCTCATTTGCATTTTTGTAGGGCTTCTCTAAACAATATAACACTAAAATGTGCTTTCTTCGCGCCCGCAACCGATCTACTTTGCATGTAACCAAGGCCTTCAAGCTAAATTCTAACACGAATCAATCCCACTCGCAGTCCCTCATCCGCAATATACTCGCATCAACACTTCTCTGACCCTTTCTCCTTTAGATATCTCGTCATCCATTCCGCCCCTGGAAGCCCAGCAAACGCAGAGTTGCAAGTCCAGACCCCCACCTTGCCCTCTGTATTTCCCGTACACACATATCGGCTATTCGGCGCCCATTGCACTCTGGAAATCCCCACACTCTCGCTCCCCGGCACTTTGAACTGGTACTCTGTCTGCCCTTCGCCGCCTAACTTACCACTCACGTCGAACAGACTCAAAGTCCCAGATTGATCCCCCGCAGCAAACACCGTGGCGTGCTGCGAGCTCCACTTGACGTCGTAAACCGCACCATTCTCCATCATATCAAAATTACCGAGCTCCTTGCAACCCAGTCCCCGTCGGTAAAGCCACAGCCGTAACGTCCAGTCAGCTGACGCGGTGATGACCACGTCGTTGAGAAATGCTGAACGACTGCTGAGCGGATGAGCAGAGATTGCATGCACTGACGCTTCATGCTTGCCGCAGCTCGTCTCGGGCGTCCAAGACGTTCCCTTTCCTTCTAGTCGATTCACGCTTCCGTCCATACCGCCCGCAAAAACTGAAAAACTTCGATTGCTTCCTCTCGATTCCTCTCCATAAAGCCTCGCATTGTGAGGTAAATCTAGACATGAAATGTTCATTTCTGCTGCCCCGTTCTCATCTCGTACTATCGTTCGCGTGATTGGGCTATCCGGCTTGGACAGTGACCATTTGTATAAATAACCGCTTGTGGCTGATGATAAAAAAATTGGGGACACGGTCGATGACGTTTTGATTTCTGTCACCATTTCCCGGCCATGCGAACAAATTGGGTCCCATGCCTCATTTCCAAATGTGTTGATGGGGAGGCAGCTCTTCACTCTCGTATCCCACATCACGATGTTTCCACTTCTCGTCCCTCCGATAACCAACGTTGGAGAGATTTCCATTAGTTCGATTGCTGTCACAGGGGAGTTGGCACTAAGGGATCTCTGAAGTACCCCGCGACCGCCATCAAGTGCCCACAAAGCGACTGTGCCAAGGTCTCCACCGATTTTTCCATCCGACCTCTCACCGTGAGCAGAGATAACGATGTCCTCAAACTTTTTGTGAAAGTTAATAGCCGTCACGCGTCGCGACAATGTCACTTCTTCATCTTGTAGTGCAACTTCGAAACTCAAAGGAGCATTCCTACAGCTGCTTGGAGTGACAAGCTTTGATGAGATACCATCTTCTCCTGACACTTCTTCTCTAGATGCAAACCATCCAGCTTTTCCGGGAGCAAAATTGTCATCACCAAGCAACTCAGGGTGCATTGGCTGTATTGGTTGTCTCTTTCCAACTATTCCACGCCTCCTCTGTTTAAAATCGATTGCATCGCTCAGACTCGGAGGTATGTCAATACCTGGGCATACTGCCGTCTCCAAACCGTTCGGGGCGGGAGTCCGTTGACGTGAGAGCGATACTCGGCCGATGCTGAAATTTGGGCTAGATGTTTTCACTATGTTGCGCTTCTTGAGGTATTCGTCGGATCCATAATTGGAAAGGGATTCCACATGCTCGCTTTGAAGCCCCAGTAAGGCCTCTTTTTGTTCTCGCAATAATCGTTCTCGCCATTCTAGTTCGGTTTCCTTCTGCATGGCAGTTGTCACAAAACTTACAGCTGAAGACTTAAGGCTCTTCTTTCGTTGGTTCCGTCCCGAGGTGATGGTAAGACATTCAGCTCAGATGCAAACATCGTGGTAATGCAGATATTTAATTTCCTGTGAAGGAGCCTGTTTGCATTGATTGCAGCAGAGCAGAACAAGCATTTAGCTCCAGAAAGCGCGGGGAATCAGTTTTGGACATAAGAAAGTCGTCAAAACTGCTTATATTCTCCCATACAGGGTGCTGTACAAAAGTTAAATAATTCAGTCAGGAAAATGACGTCACACTGTACCATGTGTCGTTACTGGCGCTCAGTCGGCCACTGTGCCTCCCCGAAACAGAGTCTCTGTAGACAACGAGAGACCAAAGTGCTACAGGAGCTTCTCCGCCAGCGCTACCAAGCAGCGAAGCCTTTCTTAGCTGGCCTGCTTCCGGTAGCAGCAGCAGCATCTCTGGGCCCTTGCTAGTGCGAAATGCAAAATGCGGTGCTGCACTTGGAAGCGAAGCAGAAACGATAGCCTCGTGGACAGCGAAACTGGCAAGTCGTATTGCGGCACGTGCTGGCAAAACTGGATCACATCTCAGGTACAAAGCGGTTCCTCAAACGCGAGATCAGAAACGCCGAAGGAATCCCCGCCTACGTCTGGAAAGACTATTACGGAGAGCTGTGATCCTGAACAGGGCTCGTCCATGGAGGATGACGAGTCATTAGGAGAGCTAGAGGGTGTCCAGTTTCGCGGAACTTTGTATCTGGTATCAAGAACTAGGGGACTTGTCTTCGACTCGCAGCGCTCGTCGAATGGACGACTCATTTGCGTGGGTGATACGAAGCGTGGGATAAATGAAAATGAGGAGTTGCGTTTATACAAAGTGAATTCCTTGCCCATCGCACCACGATTTCCATTCGAGGCAACTCAAGATGATCACTGCGAGACACCTTTAAACGCGTACGAAGATATCGCATGTTACTTGACATTTTTAGCAGACTGCCTTCACAAGGACAGAAGGGAGATCAAGATATGGGACCCCTACTATTGCAACGGAGCTGTGAAGAGGAACTTGGCGAGGCTAGGATTTGAAAGTGTGCATAACGAATGCGAGGACTTTTACCAAATTTTGAAAGATAACAAGCCACCGGCGTATGACTGCGTTGTTACTAATCCACCATACTCCACTGAGCCCATCGACCATGTGCATCTCCTTCTAAAATTTTTGTGCAGGCAACAGAAGCCCTGGTTTGTTGTTCAACCAAACTATGTATACACGAAGCCGTTCTGGGAGCAGTGCACATCTACTATGCTGGCGGCGCCCCGCCCATTCTTTCTTACCCCATCCACCCCGCGAAAGTACAAGTATCAAACCCCAACCGGTTTGCGGGAAGTCTCTTCAAATCAACACCTCAAAACAAGTCCATTTGCGTCAATGTGGTTTTGCTGGCTTGGCCCAAAACACACGGAAAAATTCTACCGCTGGATCGTGAAAAGAAGGCATGATTCCCAGCTGCCGCTCTTTTTGGCTTGTACAGAATACTTTGTGCCAGATTCGTTCAAAGATTCCAATGACAAGACCAGAAGAAAGCCGCGCAAACCCAAAAGGAGGAGAGGCAATCCACCTTCGTCCTCTGCTGCCATTAGTGCTTCTGCCCTTCTAGATAAAAAGAACCAGAAGCGACGACGAAGGTCCTAGATTGCTGCGATATTAATCTCCATCATTCGCTACTATGCTGTACTTGCCAAAGCCGATACATATCTTCACAGACAACAGCGTCTCGCACGAGAGCAGTCTTCTGTATGTCGATATAGCCGCTGTGGTTGGAAGGGCACCATATGACACCCACTTCTTGCTTCCGTTGCCTTGATTTGGATGTATAACTCAAGCCAGAGTTTGCAGTGTAGGGTCACTATCTATCGCGAGACCGGGCGTCCTCGACGACCCGCTAAAGCTCCACCAGTTAATCTGAGGTCCAGTAGAGAGCGAACGTCATTCAAAAATGCGATTGCGTGGAGTAATGGGAGCAAGTTAAGCAGTTCCTCGTCATTCTGGTCATGGTACCAGGCCTCAATGGGAACAGCGTTTGATGGCTGAATAGAATAAGCAGCTGGACTGTTGTCGACGATAAGGACATCAGCCAGATTGGGGTTGACAATAGTAAGGTCTTTGACAAAATTTCCATTGCGTCTGATGCAGTCCTGTCTAAATATACGTCGCTTCACTAGGCGATCGGTGTCCAGCACTGTGATCAAGGGGTCTCCATATTTCTGCAGAGAAGCAGTGTAAATGACCACATCATACCATTGCGCGACAGTTCGCAAAAAGACGTCTAGGTACGGACGCTTGGACACGTAGAAAACGGCAGGAAACTCATCCACACGTACTTCCAAGCGAAGGTCACAATGCTCGGTAAGCTTGAACTGTGAGTGTACCAAAGTCTCGTCCAAATCTAAGACCAGAGATTTGCGGGATCGAGTGCATGAGAGAGCGGCGGGAACCATGAGTGCGGAAAAATAGGGAGATAAAGTAGGGGTAGTCTTCCCTTTGTTGAATTGAGTGGTTTCGGCATGCTGGATCTTATGGTGGCGGAGGTCCGACGAAGAGGGCAACGACGTGGCAACGCAAACTTTCAACTTCTTTCTCTTGACCCAGAAAAAGGAAGGAATAAATGACACCAAGACAGCAAAGATGACGGCCAATGTGTTGATAAGCCATGCGAGAAGCGGGCAGAGGAAGCAGTCCCAAAGAGCGCGTTTGGTATAGCTAATAACAGTTCCACAACCTGCGATACAAGAAAGCTTTATCTCCTTGACAGCGGCCGGGGAAGTGTTTGCGACGGTAATCTCTGAAATTGAGGGTCGGCGTCTCTTTCTTAACGCCAGGGGTGGCCCATGAGAGTTACGCGTGGATGGTTTCTTCCGCTGAGTGTATCGATAGGCGACCCGGGCGCAGGCGAGGCATAGGACGGTGGTTAGGACGGTAAGCAGCGAACGAGGCTGGACTGACCGGAGTTGGTTGACCAAGGCGAGGAAGGTGGATTGCGATGGATATTTAGGGGACATGAACGGTGAAGGGTCGGGGTCGACCAAAAGCGAGAGCAGAAGTTTTGAAGGGAGTTGCATGCAAGCTGCATCCCGTGGCGTGTCGGAACACGCGTTTCAAAGCCGGAGCGTCGCAAAGAAAGTAAAACCCAAAGCTGAGACCAGGCGGCGTGGGCGGGAAAGGGTATGTGCACCGAGAATGGCCGGACGGAGGTACGAAACAGAAAATGTCGACAAGCAAAGACGGAAGGAGTGCAGGAATGTGATTTGTGATGAGTGGCAGGGGTACACGAAGAGGAAGGCGAAGAATAGGTGCGGTAAACTGCAGGGACGGTGTGGAGCGCGGGGGTGGGTAAGACAAGCGGGGGGGTGCGGTAGGGCGGGGTTTGTAAGAAGTGGATGATGTGTCTGGACAAGAGGTGAAGTTAAGGAGAAGTGAGGAAAAAAAGTTTGATGAGGAAAGAAACCTGAAAAGCGGCTTGCATGAGAAGGGGGGCGAGCACGGACGGCAATTGGGCCGTTGGACAGTAGGGGGCCTCGTGACGCGATGAGCGACCAAGGATTTCGAGGTTGATGGAGGAATGCGTTGCAGCAACCAATTACAGTACAAATTTGGACATCGCACATGACATCGCAAAATGGCGTGTGTAATCTCCACATCCAATACGTCGTCGCCAGGTGCTCGCCATCGTTTGCATCAAGTTCGCGTGACCACGTGACGTGCTTCCTGGATTACTATTGGTGCCGCAGCCGGGCACAGCGCTCTGCTGTTCCGCCAAGTGGAATAATGGGCGCGTGGAACCAGCCCTACATTCGTTGCTTTTTGTTGGCAGATGGAATTGGTTGGTATGATCACCAGGGCCCAGTGGGAGTTTCGCCAAATGAATTTCTTCGGTCAAATGTCGAATGGGGATCCACCGTTTCAACGGATCCTGAATCTCGAATCGCAACATCCAAATCTCCACCATATTCTACAGTATTACACCTTTCACCCGCATAACTCTTCGTCACGCTCTCTGCACACACCGTTCCCGACAGGACCATCACTTTCTGCTCTGATGATCTTCATATCGCACCACCTCTGTGCTGCACTCTCGTGAACTCTCTGGGAGCACTCTGACAAGCTTCCCTGCACGCCGGCACTGGCTGACCTCAGCCGTTAACCTTGCTCGGGCAGCTACGGTACCTCGCTACCCAAATCTTCTGCGCCTATACTTGCTCCCATCTTGTCGTGCAGTGTGACTTTACCTCCCCGTCGCTCTCGAGTCACTTCGCTCTCTCACAGCAGAATTTAATGCTGCGCAATACAGTATCCCTTGCCGGACATCAGTGTTTTAGCCTCTTCGTTCGATTTCGTTCACACACTTGCATCTATACTGCTATCAGATACATACGTGTTATACTGCATTGTAATGTATATAATGTACTGTACTCTCACTGACACTCCAGTAGTTGTAGTCTCGGCCTTCGCTGAAACTGCAAGCTTCTATTCCCATTTACTAGTATATTCAGGAAAGGCTCTTCATCGGCACTGCATCCATTTCACCTCCTACCCTCCTTCCCACCCTCCGTTCACATACAGTTCCATAGCGAGAGGTCTTCACGCACACCCTTCCCACACGGAAAACATGAAACCATACAAAACAATGAGTCGCTAACGCCCTTACCGTCAAAAAGGGATCCGAAGGTGCCTTTCGCCTTACATTCCCCATAATTCCCTCGGACAGTGTGCCAATGACCAGCCCTGCCTACCTGGCATACCGCGTCACCATTGACAGTGTCGACTCATGAGCAGTTTCAGACCCTCTGTACCCGCGGTACTGTACACCCCCGTGCTGAGAACTCATGAGCAGTTTCAGACCCTCTGTACCCGCGGTACTGTACACCCCCGTGCTGAGACAATGCATAGCCATGCAGCGTAGTCAACAACTACAGTACCGATTACATGCACCCGTTATCCAATCATGTTGTGCATCCTGGAAGTGCCGCGAGCCTGAGGCCTTACAGAACACCACAAAACTCTCTGACGCACACATACTTGTACTGTAGAAATCAGAGAGTGGTACAGTATTGCGAACTGTCTCATACAGAAAATTTTATCTCGGTTCAGAGACAAGTGGCCCCTTGTACACAAAACCACACGTGCTTGTTGAAGCACACCGCGCGCTGGTTTTTTTTTTTTTGTCAGTTCGAATGCGATACATGCCCATCAAGTCTTCGAGATAGCATATGACATGATGTAGGTGATGTCATTGACATCACCTAGACAACTTAATGGCTGAACCGTTGGTTATTGGTTATTGGCTTCGTTAGTCTCGGTGACAAGCTTTTAGAGCGTGCGTTACTGTAACAAGAACGAGCTTCTTTACCTTCCGCGATCCTCTTGCGTGAAATAGTAATGCGCCTATCTTGTTCACCCACAGCTGAATCGCACTGGCGGCAAGCTCAAGTGTTCCGGAAAGCATATTCTAGCCACCCATATCAGCATGCGATGCGTCTGTGACAGCTTGCTCTGCTACGATGGTTTAGCATTAGCGGGACGAGGGGCTAGATGATTTAGCACGACGGCATTGTGGCAAGTCGCAAACATAACGGTGAGGGCTGCACTCCAGGTATGGTCCCCTTCGCACCGAATGAGTCGAGAATGGTCTATTTCGCACGGTACTCGACCTGTTTCTAGTTGGTGTCGAGATAAACATCACTCAAAGAAAAGCGCTGCTAGGGGAAGCTAGGGTGCTTGACCGGGAAGGGCGCTGTCGATGTCAGACGCAGAGTGTGAGGGTATCGGAACAAGGCATCGGGCTAAAGCTTTACAGGGCAGCCTCCGCTCACGGGGGAGAGGCTAAGGACTCGGGTCAGGAAAAAAAACTAACCAGCTCAGACTGATTCTGGGAGCAATACGAATAAGTCAAGACAAGTTCGATCAAACTAGGTGTAAAAATACACCTTTGTCTGTCGTTGCGACAGATTGGTTTTCAGCTGCACAGCTTGTCAGACAGGGCGGCGGACTTAGCTGGAGCTGTACTTGGTAACAGCCTTGGTTCCCTCGGACACAGCATGCTTGGCGAGCTCACCCGGAAGGAGGAGACGGACGGCGGTCTGGATTTCACGGGAAGTGAGCGTCTTGGTATTGTTGTACGAGGCGAGCTTGGCAGACTCAGAAGCAATGCGTTCGAACAAGTCGGCGACGAAAGAGTTCATGATGCTCATGGCCTTTGAAGAGATACCGGTGTCGGGGTGGACCTGCTTCAACACCTTGTAGATGTAGATCGAGTAGGATTCGTTCCTCTTCTTCCTCTTAGTAGTCTTTTCAACGGCGCCACCAGAGACACCTTTCTTAGCGATTTTCTTCTCTGCGGTGGGAACGCCCTTATTTCCTTTGGGAGCCATTTCGGGAGTTTGGGAGTTTGAGAAGTGGGTTAACTTTGATTTTCAGACGACGGAGAAGGCTGTTGCGATGGATTGTGGAGTTCGAGGTGAGGAGGTCAGAAGGTTTAAGTACTCCCCGCCATCATTTGAAGAGAGAAGAGCCCGCCAAAATGAGCATTTATCTTTTCGCGCGCTTTTCACTCCAATACGAATAGAATGAGGCGATTGGATAGAAGGGGAGTCTCAAAAGAGCCAATAGATTTCCAGAATGCAAATCTCGCCGTTCATTGGTCATTTTAGCAGTCCCATGCGATGCGCTTCGAATATGCTTGGCGCAACTTCCAAACTCTGAAGCGTGCGCTTGGAACCCATCGACTCCCCTTGGCGCCCTTGACTCTGATCAGACTTGTATTTAAACTGTCACCGGTAGAGTAACCGGAACACTCCCCCACCCACCGACACCCCTCGACCCCTGATCTCTATTCCACGCATCGATTCTCCCACATCAATCAGCTATGGCTCCCAAGAAAGCTTCGCAGACTCGCTCGAGCAAGGCCGGCCTTCAGTTCCCCGTCGGTCGTATCCATCGTTTCCTTCGCAAGGGTGGGTACGCTGATCGCGTTGGCGCCGGCGCCCCCGTCTACATGGCAGCGGTCATGGAATACCTTACCGCTGAGGTGCTGGAACTTGCCGGCAACGCTGCTCGTGACAACAAGAAGACCCGTATCATTCCCCGCCACATTCAGCTCGCTGTTCGCAACGATGAGGAATTGAACAAGCTTCTCGGTGGTGTCACCATTGCCTCCGGTGGTGTTATTCCCAACATTCACACGGTTCTCATGCCGCGCAAGAAGTCCAAGGGTGACGCCTCCCAGGAAGTCTAAGTTTATTCATCCGATGCTTCCCGACTTTAAATAAGTCTCCGGTTAAGATACCGAACAAACAGGTGTATTTTTACACCTCGACTGTCTATAACTTGTTTGGCTCTTTTAATCGCTTATTCGTCGTCCATTTCAGCGCACTCTTCGCGCCACTGTCAATCCATCTCCAAAAGGTAGCACGACCTGATCGAGGCGGTCATCATCTTTGACACTCTTATTGAAACCGTGTAGTTTCTTAGCTGTTCTACGAACGTTCTTCAGATTCCTCACCCGTTTTCTAGCCATCTCTTTGTGTATGGATGAGTCGTCTTCGTCACCGTTGAACCACATGCTTGAAACCTCCCCCCGAAACAGTATGTTGTCACACAGGAGTAAACCACCTACCCGAAGAAGATTTCTGTCCAATAAAAGGTCTTTGTACGCTTGATAACCCCCCTTGTCAGCGTCAATAAACGCAATATCGAATGGCAATTGTTCTAAATTCTCCAGCGTATCAATGGCTGTGCCGCGAAGCAAAATAATTTTCGAGTCATGCTGAGAGGCCTCAAAAAAACGCTCAGCTACATCGCTTACTTCATCATCGTACTCGCATGTGACTAGTACTCCCGAAGTTGGGAGCGCGGAAGCCATAGCCAGAGTGGCATATCCCGTGAAAGTTCCAATTTCTATGACGCGTGTCGCATTCGTTATCTGAATCAGCATTCTTAAGAAACAGGCTTGAGTATGGCTGCTCAGCATTCGTGCCCTGCTCGGGAACTTTTCTATGGTTGCTTCTCGGATGCTTCGGAGAAGAGGACTCTCGTCAGTAGAAAATGCGTCTGCGTACAAATCATTGATGGACTGACTTCTAGTACACGTTTCCTTTGACGAGGGAGCTTCAAGGAGACCTGCGTTTCTGACAAGCGATTCTCGACAATTCTCTGAGCATGCTCCTCGCATCTCCGTGGCACAATCCGCACACTGGACGAACATCCTATCGTCAAAAGCCCTTGGGCAAGCCAAATTCGCACAATCTGTTTGAATGTTACATGGCTCTCCGCAATTTGCGCACTGAGTCAGCAAATCTTCCGTGATTGTTTCACCCATCCTTCCATCAAAAACGTGATTGACTCCTTTAAATATAGACTCATGTATTCGTCCGTTTTCCTTCAACCTTCGCGCGTAGGAAACAACTCCTCCCTGCAAGCGGCCAGTATTGTTGAAACCCATTTTCTGTTCAAGAAACGCGTTTACTTTAACGCATCGAATACCGCCGGTGCAATAGGTCAGGATCTTCTTGTTGCGGTCTTCATGCTGCAGTCGCTTCTCTAGCTTATCCCATGTCTCTTTGAAAGTGCTTGTGTCCAATGTTTCGGCCCCTTCGAATCTTCCGATGTCACTCTCATAATTATTTCTGCAATCCAAAAGGACGACGTCGTGTGGCTTCTCCGCCAAAGTCCGGTGCCACTCTTCTGGTGGCACCTCTCTTCCAGACTTAGCCCAGTCCAATGGTTCATCGAAGCCATCAGCCAGGACCTTTTCTCTGGGACGTACATGTAGCTTTTCGAATGGTTGTTCTATCTGATGGACGATGCCATCCGTGTTTAAAAAGACGCCGACGATCTCAGATGGAATCAGAGGTGCACCACGCTCAATCCAAGATCCATTCATGGCGTCCTGAAAATCTTTTAGCACAGGCTCTGGGACGGCAAGCTGAGCGTTGACCCCTTCCCTTGCGACGTACACTCGCCCTTTCACACCCATTTTGGACCACCATTTCTGCAGTATCTCGCTGGTTACATGGGGATTTTCAATTGTCGTAAACTTGTAAAAGCTAATCATGTGAAGCATAGTGCCGTGGTTGCTCATCGCTTGGCGTGCTTTTTCCGCGACTGCGCGTACCCTTGGTGACAGCGGGGGTTTCGGCGGGGGTGTGTTGTGAGGGATGACCTCAATGAAAATCGCGGTACCCACTCTTTCACACTTCTCCAGCCCCTGTTTCAAGTCTGTTGAGGTGTGAACCGCCGCACCCCCACCAATCTTCATGTCAAAGCCATCTGAAACACGCAAAAAACCGCGTTGCTCTAGCTCAGGAAATATACTCACAAGCCCTGCTCGCACACGACCACGAAAAACTCCAACATCGGATATATGGGCCCTTTCTAGAAATACCTTGACCCGCGCCATGCGCGACGTGAGGCAGCATCGATCCCTAACATATCTAGGAATTGTCACAACAGCACTCACCAAGTGATCATGACGGGTATCATAGTTCTTTTTCACGTCCAGGTGAGCACGCTTTCTTGATTGTCCCAAGGAACGACGTCTTTCGCGGGCGGTTAGTTTTGCTTCTACCAGGGTGCGATTTTGGGGTTTTGATAGAATTGGATATCCCAACCGTCCAAAAAGCTGACGCCCGAAAAATAATGTCGGGGGAGCAAAGGCAAATTTCATTTTGCTGGATTGATTGGCATGCTGCACTCTGGTGAGATATTAATTGGAGAGAAACGAAAGATCCTCTCCTTCTGAAATGCAACAGGCACGATCAGCAAAAGTTACTTCAAGGAAGATATGTTGTATGTCGATAAAGGGTGGCGTGATCGGTTCACGAGTATCTTACCTAGCCCGGTACATGCAAATGAAGAGAGAGCACGGCATGTTGCCGAGCACAAAGTTTGTTGCCATGCTCTAAACTACAGTAGGGTGAGCGAAAAACGTTCACGAGATCTGATGGCTCGCTTTGAAATTTTCGAAAATAAAAGAATTTTGCTCCTTTGTGTTACTTCATGCACTGCCGTATTCCGCTTTACGATATCTCCGAGAGAACGCTGCTCTTAAAAGTCTTCTTTGGCCATTCCCTGCTGCAGTACCAGCCAGGGCATCGTTCATCTCTCATTCCCCTGCACTGTGAGAGAGCGATCTGCATTGACCTTTCTCCTCGAAGGGAAATTGCGTTGGACTTTTTTTGGAACCGGAAGAGGCATACAGAGGATTTTGGGGCGGGGCATCTGCTACATTTCCATCCACAAGATGCTTGGCTTCAGTTCAGCACCAAGTAGTTTTCAATTGCAATCACGAAGTTCCTTCGGTGGGAGTTCTGTTTCATGCGTACCGAGGAGTGCATCTGGAATCCAGGTCGAAACGAGAAGTTTGCGGAGGCAAATTGTGCATTGTGGGAGACGGAATTCTGGGGGCCGTGACAAGCGACGAGGGGACGGCCGAAGACCAAATCGAGTGGGTGAGCTCATACGGAGGGAAATTTCTGGAATCATTGATGATGCCTTCGCTCATTCACACCGCCATGAAGACAAATCAAGTCCCGTTCTCATCAGTGTTGTTGATGTGAAGTGCTCTGATGATTTACGAAACGCACGTGTAAATGTGTCGGTTTGGGGAAGCGACGAGGAGAAAGTTAATGCTATTAGTTGGCTTCGCCGTGCGCGGAAGGAAATTCGATATGAACTAGCTCAAAGTGTTAAACTCAAGTACATCCCTGAGCTTTCGTTTACTGAAAGTGAGATGGCACAGGCGGTGAAGACGGTTGGTATTCTGAATAAGCTTGCGACGGAACGAGAGCATAAGCAAATGTCGCGTTCGGGGCAAGGCGCCAAGGTTGGCTCCTCGAACTTCGAGCCTGACATGGGCTTCAATTCTTCTGCGAGTGATGCACTGATTCTAGAGGACTTGGATGTAGACGGGCTTATCGATGTGGACGACGACGCATCTGACGCGCTCATTGTTGATGTTCCAGGAGATGATGACTTCGAGAACATGAACGACGATCAGGTTCGAAGGGAACTTTTTAATACCTTGGGAGAAGAGGACTTCGTTAAGTAGCTGTTGCACTAGCTCCGTAAAGTGTACAAACAGCTGTTCTCCAGGCGCAACTACTCAACTACTTCTTGAGCTTGCAACCGCAGTCCCCCCATCGCGATTCCAAGTTCTGCATCTGGCATGGGAACTCCGGTTTTCCTTGGCGACGGTTGACTTCGTTGTGTGCCTTGCAGGCCCAAAGCATGAATCGGTCTCTGCTGGTCAAGTCTGGGGGAGTCGTGGAAAGGTACTTGGAGAAGTGCTGGCGGCATCGTTTGCATGGATACAACTTGCCTATGCTCTTCAAGAATGCTTTAGCATGGCGCTGCTCACTGCTTGACGGGGTTGGGGGATAGTTGGCAGCAATTGAGTGAATCAATGTCCAACCAGCGTTTCCCAGTTCCTTCCTGGATGGAGGCTTTGAGGTTGTAGTTGAAGTTCTTGCCATTTCGTAGAGTCCTGTTGCTTGTTCTGAAACAATCTGAAAGGGTTGGGATAACAGAAAGCCGGCCTCTACTGGTAGAGTGGAGTCCAAGAGCAATCCGAAGAGAAGACTAATTATTCCGCAAACTGTAACTAGTTTCCCAATAAATATTCCTTTCCGTCCTCTCAGGTATGAGCTCATGCGCCGAAGGGGAGCAAATGTATAAGGTTCGTTGGTTGCGAAGGGGGGGTCGGCAGTTCTTCAAAGAGGTGGAGGGCGGGTGGGGGCGGATTGACCAAGCCCAAGATAAAGATATATGAGCATTTGGTGCGACACGCCCGACCGTATCTTCCGAGTGTTCAGATGGCTATCAGAGCGTGAGGGTTGCATCCGCCCAAAGCCTACAAACAAAAAAATCAGAAAATTTTTGGACGTCCAGCTCATCGACATCACTCAAAAAACACCTCGTGAGGCAAATCATCACTTGGCAACGGAGCTTGATATGCAGCTGTACGAGACCCTTGTACAGTAGGCGGCTTCTCGAATTTCTCATATTCCACGGGCCTCTCTTTTTCCCATGCTTGAACTCCGCCAACGCATTGCGCATCCCCACCCCTTACGACGAACTGCTTCGGGGAGATTTCCAGATGGATTTACAGCTACACGTTCTTGCAGCCCGTCGAAGAGCACTGTCCATGCCCATTCCTATCGTCAAAGCACCTCTCGAAGAGCAAAGTAGTTCACAAGTTTCCCAGGACCCTTTCGCCTTTGAAAGCCACGGCTTTTTCGTGTCTGCAAACGAAGGCTCTGGTCTGAACAAGGACTTTGATGACGAACGCGCTGCGCGTGAAGCTTTAAAGTCCGAGAGGCGGAAAATCGTCCAGCAGCAGAAGGCAAAATCCTCAAAGCTTTCAAAACCCCAGGGTAAACCAAAGCGGGCAAGGCGTTTCGTTACAAATTGGACCCCGGAAATGGACAAAGTCGTGCGAAAGGCTCTATCGAAACATGGTTGGGGATGTTGGAGTAAAATTGCGCAATCAGGAAAACTGCCAAAGGAATACAACTCGAAACTGATAGCTAACCGTGCAAGATCAATTGGATTGACCAAGGAAATGTTCGGACCGCAGGTTTCGTACACAGCATCCAAACCTTGAAGGACTCCATTCCATTCATGGTGTCGCGTGGAATATTTTTGCGATTTTTCCTGCAGAATGAAATTGCCCGCACCTGTCTCCATTATGGCTGTTGTAACACCGCCTTCGCAGACATCCTTTGCAACTGGTGGCAATGCGGAACCGCCATTACATAGATTAGCCATTCATCAGCCATTCATCAGCCATGCAAGACATCACTCGAAAGCCAGTCTTATGGGGTCTTGACCCGTTGTTTCATGTCCACGTCAAACTATTTGCGGGATCGCTAGGACGAATGAAGCCGGGACAGTGGGGTGATGGAGATTCAGTGTACTTCTCTTCATTTGTTCGAGGCTACCCTCGCCCAGTTAGGCTAGCCTCATTGGCTGGGCTGGTTGTGTTCATATCGAAGCACCAAAAGGTAATGAGGGCAGATGGCGCAATCGCTTTGGCCAGCAGAGGAAGAATCCAGTCCCTACTTCCAAATCGGCGTGATCACAACTGTAGCTAACGTCAAGTGAATTTTCGTATGCGATGGTAGTTTACTCGATTTCTTATAGACGATGGGACAGGGACTGCTCGATGTATGTTATGGGCAACCACAGATGGCAAACGGAGAGAGCTGCAACATGTTTTGCTCGGGGACTTCGTCGAGGTCCGTGGAAGACTTGAATGGCGAGAAAATATGCCTTTGATAAACGTGCAGTCCTATGAAGTCTCATCTGATCCACACGCCGAACTCTTGTGGTGGGTGGAATGCAATCACACCTACGAAACCGTATACTTTCAAAAGTTTAGGGTTAATTTATCTCCCGATAGAGAATCGTCTCTGTCTCAAAGGTTCAATACCTAGCCTGTATGTAAATAAATCTGGACGTCAGCACATCTTTTGCTCGAGATAGTCGTGTTCTCGCTGTCACAATACATATACAATCAGCTTGGCACCCCCCCGCTCATCTTGCTCTTCGAATCTTTTGACTATTCTTCGCGAAGGTCACCAGCTTAGATTCGATTTCTTTCGTTGGAACTTCAAAGCGAAAGGGTTGAAGGCCAACAGCTGCAATTCCGTACTTGTCGGCCATAATATAGTCCAGAATTGATGACATACGAACAACCAAAGCGCCATAGGCCCCACTAGGGAAAAGCCTTACTTGCTCTGCAAACGAGCTCATGTCCGCGACATCGTCATCATCAAGCTCTGCAACGACCTCTTGCTGCACGTTAGGATCAGCGGACTCCAGAATTTTCTGAACTGCCGCCAGAGAGGGGCTCAACCGCTTGTTCACCTCATCTAACGTACGACAAGCCTGGGCACAAGTCGTGAGAGCCTTCTGCATGTCGACGTTTACCAATTCTGGATTCTCCTTTCCGCGCTCCTCCCACGCCGCAATGGCCGCAAAAACAACAATCCAGAACGCGTCGACCTGGAGCGTGGTTGTCCCGCAATTGCGCCTCACATCGTTCTTGATGCTGTCCCCCTGTAACACACGCAGTAATCTGCCCTCCGCACGCTGCAGCTCAACCTTAAGCGGATAATCGTTGCTCCAGCAATGGGCTATCAAATCTTGTCTAAATTGCCTCATATTGGCGGCCTCTTCCTCCTTCGTCTCGGCCCTGTCGGTCCTACTCTCAACCTGCAGAATGGCACTAGTAAACCGATACAGCAGTTTCTCCGATACAAAATGCCTATTCGCTATAACGGTAGCTGCAAAAGTGTCCCCTCTTCTAGCGTCCTCGAAGCGCTCGATCATCTCGTCCAACGACAATTTCCTGTCAAAGCGGAGACTCGCAATGTCGTCCTTTGTCAAACTCGGAATCGGGACGAGTGCCTTATCGGGCCCGTCGAGCGGGTCAACTTTGGCGGGATCCTCCATTGTTGCCGAAGCGGGCCCATCAACGAGAGCGCGGTGTGGGCTTGCGTCGCCGGTGGCGCCGGACGCGGATTCTACGACGGTGGCTTTCGCAGCGTCTTTCGGTCTGCCACCTTCCTTCTCCGACCCCCTGCGAGGATTTGACGCAAATCCGCTGCCAGAGGGTCGCTTGCTCTTGGCGGCGCGCTTTTGGCTGGCGGCCCCGCGCTTGGCCTTCATGCAGATGCATGGGGCTTGTGTGCGCGCGCCGCGGGTCAGCGGGAGGGGCGCAGACGGGGCGAAAGCGCATAGATTTTGTCTTGCAGAGAAATGCAGCTTCATTCTTGGCGAGGCTTTGATAGGCACCAAGTGGGGCGACAAAGGTCAGCGGTAGTGAATTGCAGGTCGACCGAGGAGACAAAAAAAAGATGGAAGAAAACAGGGGGAGCGAGGTAGACAAGTGTAATCTCCATCTCCCGTATAGAGTCGGTTCAGAGTTTGTTCATAGCCCTCAGGGGCCACAATGCTCGGATGAGACAGAGGGGCAGTAGATAGTAAATGGCCAATGGAATAGGGCCACGTTTAACACGTTGCCACCGCGTGTCGTTCCGTTTTGGCAATCGAAAGAGGCCCATTTCACTGCAGCCGCACTAAGTGACGAAATTCGGTTCAAGGCCTTCCCGGCCGCGGGCATTCGTTTAAGCCGAACGGGGAAATGTCGTCGAACGACACATTCCAAATTGTCGCCTAGTGAACCCAACTCGCGACTCATGTTACTCTCGTCAACAGACTGCCCCCGCTGCGACTTCTGCGGCGCTCGTTGCCGCTATCATGGCCCCCCATTCCAGCAACATCCAACCCGACAACGATGAGGTCCAAGTCATTGAAACGGATAGTCGCCCCAGGCGCAGTCACCTTCCCAACAGCAATAGAGGTAGTGGCGAAAATTCGAAGCTCACAAATGCGAAAAGGCCGGTCGATTCCCAGGGCAATGGCACACGAAGAAGTCAACGCTCACGTTCTGCGTATCAGGAGGAGACTCAAAGACACCCGCGGACTGCTTCCCGCAAGCCTGCGAGCCTCGACAAATCTATCTACGCCAATGACCAGCATTCTCGATGCCGTTCGAGCAAGAAAAACGATCCCGGGGTTGTTGATGTGGATGCCAACTCGGAGGAAACGCCCAGTGCTCGTGTTCGTGATCAGAGTCGCCACCAACTCTCAAGTGCGAGAGCGGCTTCTAGCAAGAACTCCAGTACGCACGCGCGTCCAAATCTGAGCTCGAACGCGAGAAAGACCAAAAAGCAGTGCAACGAGCGAAGCTTCAAGGGGGATCGCCAACGGCGAGACAGGAATACATCCGAGATTTCGTTGCCACGGAAATCTCGATCTGCGAAACCATCTGAGCGTCCAATCCCTCTAGATGATGATGACGACGACAATACAGATGTCTGCATGCAAAGCACCAATGTTACCGCCAACAAACGTCCATTACGTTCGCCATCCCCGCCTGCCCTTGGCCGCAGAGCACGATTGTGCAAAACAAAACGGCTTAAAGATACTGACGAAGTAGCTGAAGAAGCAAAACAGCTGCAAGCGCTCGATGCCCCGTTTACAGGGCCATGTCATTTTCTTTTCAAGTTTCCCCCAACGGGAAGGGGATCAATTCGTGTCACTGCTGAGGAACGCGGAAGGCTCAATTCACGGCAATATCTAAATGATACACTCATCGACTTTTATATCAAGTATCTCGAACACGGTCTTGCATATCGCCCCGACGACAAACAGTTCACTACAAAGTTTTTTAGCTCCTTCTTCTTCGGCGTTTTGAGGCGTGGAAAGCCTGGGGGATACAAAGGAGTAAAGTCAGCCATTGATTACGATGGAGTGAAAGGCTGGACAAAGGGAGTCGACTTGTTTTCCTTGGAATACGTCTTCGTCCCTATATGCGACTCATATCACTGGAGCTTGATTATTGTCGCCAACTTGCACGAACTCCAAGATTCCTTAGATGGGAAATTTGTCAATGGATCTGCAAAGCCAAAGATTTTCTATCTTGATTCCTTGGACCCGAAACGAGGACAAGAGTTCGGCATCATTATGTTGCACTATCTAGTGGAAGAGTATTTAAATCGCAAGAAGAGCGAAGATGTTTCCGATAGCCTTCACGAGGAGACCTTCAACCGTTTCAAAAAGGCGATATCAATACAAAAGGTCCTTGTTCCGCTCCAGAGCAACGAGTATGATTGTGGATTGTATGTACTGAACAACCTCGCTATGTTCTTGGAGAACAGGGATGACTTTATGATGAAGCTTTTGGACGATGAATTGAACCTGAAAGAGGTTTACTCACACATGGACATTCAAGGCTTGAGAATTGACATAACATCATTATTGAGCACTTTAGAGGACAACTGGAACAAAGTGCACCCGAAGTTCGATGTGGTTCCGAACATGACGGACGCTGACAATGGGGCAGACAATAGGAAGGAAGTGGAAGACTCCCCAACGCAAGAAGCTAGCTTGGAAGGGGAACCGACATGTGAAGATGGTGATATTCCTCAATCCCCACCTCCCCATGAGTGGATCAGCGTTCCAAATGGGAAAAGCTGCTCCACCGAACCGACGATACCAAGAATCGCGGCCGGGTTCCGGAATAGGTCTTTTTCTAAACGGAGTGACCAAGAATTAGAGACATCTGAAAAACGTGGCTACGAGTCTAGTGCCAACGTGGTGATGCAGGACTGTGATGAGAGGTACAATCAAGAACTTGACAGCAGTTTGCCATGGCATGGAACTATGCCTGGTGACGAAGAGGGTGCAGCTGTTGATACCCACGAAGAGGGTGACTACGACGCACAGATGAGACCTGTTGGTGACACTAAAACAAATGAAACCATCGATGACGGAAACGGTATACTTCCTTTCTTTCGACAATCTGCAAATCACCATGAAGACGGTGATACTACGAAAGATCAAGTGTTAGACAGTGGAATGGCTGCGGACTTTGCGGATCCCCGCAGTCGTCTGGTGGCACAGGCCTCTGAAGAGCGATCCATCTGGCATGAGTCTACGAGGAGTTCTGACAAGGTTGTCAAGAAAAAGCATCGACTTCGGGAAGAACCAACGCGCCGACAAGCAAAAAAGCGCCCCGCGTCTGGCTACGGAGGTGCAAAGTCTTTAAAAGCTCGTTCGAAGGTTGGCAGTCATCGCCGTACGAAAAACAAGGCGAGTTCAGCAGCTGATGTCGAAATAGATGGGAGTGATCGGTCGCCTGTGACAATGCCCTCCTCAAACGTTGAAGAACAAATCATTGACGGGTCTGAAGCCATAAGTGTAGTACTCCCGTAAAGTAGCGCAAATGGGATGTAAATAAGTCAGTGGTTTGTAGAAAAGAGAGGACCGGGTCCAACTGCTAGCAGCACATTTTCGGCCTCATGACACTCATGTACTCATGTAAAAACAAATACGGGCATCTGCCACCGCTTGTTGCTTTATATATTGGACGGATAAAGATCATTTGTAACCGGGGTGAACCCCATGAAATGGCTGGCGAGACCCATCACACCTTCGAGATATTCAAAATTCGAAGCCTTTTCGTCTGTGTGAGACTTTTCCTTACCAGTCAATGATAGAGCCCTGCCATCTTAGTGCTATGGAGCACGCTGCTCCATTGTCGTATGACTGGCGTCTTCATCCGAAGAGTACATGTTTGCTGCTACGGGACGTGCAGATCCCAAGGTGTGGAATGCATCGAACGATACATGCCAAACCTCTCAATAGCAACAATCTCGCCCCAAAATGAGAACATTTCTACGCTTTTAAGTCGTAGTGAGGTCACTTTGCTAAACCCCAAAGTGATCATCTATGTAGACGAATCAAATGGAAAAGGAGCTAAGCATCGATTTCAAATGATCATTCGCAAACACAGCACTACACGTTGCCGTTTCGTTCGGACTCCTCGCTCCGAGCAAAGCAGTGGGCCCCGGAACATGTCATGACATGGTAGTACTGCAAATGGAACCCGTTTGTGCGGCAAACTTCGGCAAACTTCGGCAAACTTCGGCATACGACCGTAACAACGAAATTCGTAGGCTAAAGAATTGTGAGGAATTTTTCAGCTTCCACGATATGTCGAATATCCATACGGGCTCAGCAGTAGTGGTACGTGGTAATGAGATGCAGTTTCCTTGACAGTGAATGTGACATCACAATGCGGATAAAAACATTCCGCTTTCGTTGAATCGAAGTACTCCTGGACGAAAAACCGGATACGATATACACCTGCCCTCCAATCCTCACTCGTCAAGAGGTCTGTGACACGACCATTCTGGTCGCATATACCCTCTTTCAAACACTGCTCAGTTCCGTCCTCGTTGTGACGAAATACAGCTAATCGTAGTCCAGCAGCCGGCCGACCAACTGACGTATCGAGGACATGTGTCGTAAGAGGACTTCCCATTTGCAATGAAATACAAAGAGCAAAGTCTAGGGTGACCGCTAACACAAAACATGAACCACGCTCTGATAACGAATGTCACAGGGCAGGAACGATAATCGCAGAAAGTTGTTTGGGTAATACCGAACTGGCAAAACTCAGTTCAGAGCAAGGCGTTCGTTTAGAGTCTGAAAATAATTACGACAAATCCACAGAAAAAATATATATATCTGTAGCCCTCTAAGACCATCATGGAGGTCACTGTTGCTGTAGTAGAGGCTTACTGTACGGTGCCACATGCCAAGCTTTTCCAGAACGATATGGAAGTGAACACACCCATCGCAATACACATGTCAAAAGCACCCATGCAAGTCTTCCCGTGTTACGAAAACGAACGCGATAGACGATTAGTTTCCAAACAATTGAACTGCAAAGTCGCTCACTTTGTGTTTCCGATTCGATCGCTCCTACACTACTGTCTTCTCCTTACCTTTAATTTGCTACTCTCCGTCTCACTCGAGTTCCTATCTAGCAGGCCCTCACTTATTGGCAGTGAATCCCACAAGAGTAACTTGTGTGGACTTTTGTCCGTAAAGGCCCTTCGGCAGTTAAGTTCTCACTCCAGGCGTTAACCATTACATGTTTAGATTTTTCCACACCATAATAGTCAACTTGAAGATCGAAAAGGAGATGGCTCTTTAAAAGATATGGCACTGCCGTCTCGCTTTAAAGATTTCTTGTTAATAGCTTACCTTGTTCCTCGCCCTTTCACGTGTAGCCAAAAACAACAGCATTCAGAACTACAGTACCCAGGGTACAACAACTTTTGGAGTGCCCTTGCAGTGCTTGCGGGATCATCATTGCGAGATTTGTGGTGCTACGTATATCTGTACACCGGGGACGGTATTTAGTGTCAGCGCTAAATAATTTAGTGACACTAATACCTGTCACAGCCTGGGACGACGACGGATCAATACAGACATGCAACATGCCCCTTCTGTTGTGAGCTACACCACTCTCACCGCTAACATCAAGTATATTTCTACCATTCGAATTCACTAAGCCTGCGACAACATGTCGCTGTCAGCGTCACCGATCGTCGCGGCTCTAAATAGGGCAACAGCAGATCGCGCATCAAGAGTTGCTAACGCAGAACCTTCTTTGACATCCAGCGATGTCCCGTCGCCGCTCCGGCAGTATCTGATGAAACGCCAGATGCTCTGACGCCTACCAAGAGGCGAAAAATTCAATTGGTGCTGACCAAACACCAAAGGGCGCAGATTTCACGCTATATGGTGTCAAAGAAACAATCTGGTCGTGTAGTGCACATATGCGCACGTGCAGTTCTGGAATTCCCTGACTATTTTCGTGCCTCCCCGAACGCGAATATTGCAAAAGCTACGCGGTACTTCCAGTCTAAAACAACTACATTAGAAGGACAACGAGGGTGCCATGGTGACGCGCACATCTCATTCTCGCGAGTGATGAAGGGAGATACGCATAGGTACAACCGGGAAGCATCCCACGGGCGAGGAATAAAACGACGGCCTGTGGAAGTTGCTCTCTACAAGGACCTTAGTTTTGAGTTCGATAGGATGCGCAAGGCTGGGATGAAATTCAACAGATCTTTATTGAGGAGATTGGTTGTAAATCTGATAATAAACTCCGTGAATGATACGTACAATGCCAGTATAATTGACTCCAGAACAATGCTACCTATCATCAATTCCATATCTGCCCGATGGATTAAATCGTTCACGGAAGCGAATGGGATTGTTCAGCGTTCACAGACGGGTAAGCTCATGGTTTCTCCCAAAAAGCAGGAGAAAATTCATCGTGCTGTCACCTTCCATTTGGGGACCGTTTGCAGAGAGTTCCAGACTGGTCTCGTAAATGACGGCAATATATACAATGCCGACGAGACCCACTTCCTGATAAACAAGGATGATCAGATGACAATGGCTCGAAAAAGGGGACAGTGATGTTAAATACGCCGACGTAGTCTCAGGAGATGACGGAATGATGATGATGGTGCTACTGTCAGGCGGACGTGATGCAGGCCTGGAACCACCGTTTATGGTATTTCAAAATCGGGATCGAGCCTATCCTATTCGCAGCATCCCGGACAACGTTTTTGGCCTATCTTATCTTAGTAGTCCTAAAGGTTGGATGGACGGGATCGTCATTCTCCAATACTTGAAAGAACCAAGAGCGATTAGGAACTTGACGAATGGGAGAAGACGCATACTTTACATAGATATTTGCTCTGGGCATGCACTAACAGATGAACTTAGAAAATGTGTCGATGGCTTGAACACGGAGATACGTTTTTTCCACACAACGCTACTGACTTGCTGCAATCCGCTGACTCTTTTATTATTCAAAAAATTAAGACAGCATGGAAAATCCGTTGGGATGATTACAAGCTTTACATGATAGAAAACAACATGTATGCTGTTGAGAGAGGCCCAAGGTCTTCGGGGCGATTGCAGAATCCTGGAAAATATTTCTTTTTAAAGTTGGCAGAAAACGCTGTCAAAAGATGTCGCTGCGCAACCGGATAAGGACGGTGTCTCTTATGCTCTTAAGGCAATGATTCGGTGCGGTTTGGCGCTGAACTTGAACGGCCTTTGGGAAGAAAGGCAGTTGACCCCGCAACTGCAGGAGATTGTCAAAAGTACTGTGAAAACTTTGATGGTGTTACAGTGCAAGAGTCGATGGATGTCGTAGACCTGGTCCAATAACGCACTGATGATTAGAGGTAGGCACGTGAGGTTTTGGTAGGACGAAAATAAATGCTGTAGGCTGTAATGGGATCTAACTTACACTATTCAGTGTTTCTTTCAGCAATGTCAGTGACAGCAGTACCGTTTTTCACTGAAATAGTGTAAGTAAGGAAATAGTATCACTGACATTAATGTATGTTTAGGGTTTGAGATTTCCACCACGGAAATGGTATTAGTGACACTAAATACCGTCCCCGGGTGTACGTACCACTAGAGAGGTAAGGCCTACAGTAGGGCTGTTTTCCCGTGTTGTTGTTCCCTGATTTATGTTCCGTTGAATTAAACACGTTTCACCCGTTTTTGATGACTCGGATTTACCGTCCATGCGAGATACATTACAGAGCTCTTCCGTCCCTGTTTACACTTACAACCCTCACTACACGTGTACAGTTTGCCGCAAGATCAAGAAGATGGACCAGTCATGTCGCTGTCGACGGCCTCTTCGCCGCATCCTCGGAATCCCGTTTACTCGGTGAAGAGAACCTCTTCAGTTGAAAGCGTCGACCGCAGTGCTGTATTCGCAGCAAGATGGGAAAGAAAGATAAGAAGAAGAAGGGCCTCGGAAAGGCGAAAACTGAGGCCAAGGCGGCGAAGAAAGTTGAAAAAGCGTCGAGGAAAGCTCGGGCCGCTGATGGTGACGTACGATTCCTACCCAATCCAAGTCATTTTGTCGAGCACGCTACTCTTTACTTCAGATCAGAAATCTAACCATGGTAGCATTTGTCTGTTCACTTGTATTGCATACCGTATAACAGGACGTCGAAGCAATATTAGCTGAAATCCTCGCAAGAGAGGCAGAGGCCGTCGCTGTTGCAGAACACCAAGATGTCGAGCCTCCTTCTCCGCGTGCAGCATTTACTATAATTCCCAGTTCTGTCAACGAAGATGAACTGATACAGTTTGGCGGGGAGCGTTACACGGGTGATAGGGCGGCCTTTTTCAACGACTTGTATGTCTTCAACGTCGAGAAGAAAACATGGGCCAGATACGACTCACCTACTCGCCCTCCTCCTAGAAGCTCCCACGCCGCAGCGCTCCACAGAAGCATGATGTATATATTCGGTGGAGAGTTCAGCAACCCGAGTCTCAGCCAGTACCGGCACTACCGCGACCTGTGGCGTCTAGATCTTACCGACATGAGCTGGGAGCGAATTGATATACGCGGCGGCCCAACAGCCCGTTCTGGATGCCGCATGTGTATTGTAGAAAACAAACTCGTCGTTTTCGGAGGCTTTTTCGATACTGGCTTTGAAAACAAGTATCTCAACGATATGTATTACGTCGATCTCTCATTGGATGAACTCAAATGGACAAAAGTCGAAGTTTCGGCTGTTGACATTGTACCTTCCCCTCGGTCAGGCTTCCAGTGGGTTGTTAGCGGTTCAGAAGCCGTCCTCTATGGAGGTTATTGCAAAGAAGCTGCTCAAAAGGCAAGAAATGTCTCACACAAAGGAAAGAAAAAGGGAGGTGACGCCATCGAGGAATCAATGGTGTCTCGAGGAGTGATACTGCAAGACTGCTACAAATTATCCGGGGAAACACTCAAGTGGCAGAAAATGAAGCGGACTGGCTACGGGCCGTCGCAGAGGGCAGGGTTTTCAATGGTTCTTCACAAGCGTAACGCCGTTTTGTTCGGTGGTGTCGAAGACGACGAAACCGAGGAGGAGATGCAATCAATCTTTTTCAATGATATGTTCGCCTTGAATTTAGATCGCAAGAAGTGGTTCCCGATGACCCTCCGCAAGAAGAAGGGGAAGAAAGCCAAGAGGCGCCGAAGGAAGACGAGCCAAGCGAGTCAATCTGATGGAGACCAGATGGATATTGTGGAACCTGTCCAAGTACTAGTCGAAAGCGCGCCAGTAGACGAAGATGATGACGACGATGACGACGACGAGAAAGAACTCGACACTGACGCGCTCGAGGCAGCTTTGAAGGCAAAGGAGGAGGAGGCTGTTCCCTGTGGACGATTTAACTCAGCCGTGGCCGTTCAAAAGAATGTAATGTACATTGTAGGTGGCATGGTGGAACGGGGAGATCAAGAGATAACCCTTGATGATATCTGGTCAGTCGACCTCAATAAGCTGGACGAATTTAAAGAGCTAAAGGGGTTGGGTGAAGAGTGTGCGGCATGGGTAGCTTCTGACGACGAAGAGGAGGACGAAGATGCGGGTGAGGATGAAGATGAGGTCATGAGCGACAGCGCGGGTGATGATGGCGAAGATGATGAGGACGTTGAAGAGAGAAAACGGCAGCGCGGAGGGCGGCGCAATCGCTTGCGGGAACGAGTATCTGAGGACGACCACTTCACACCGAAAATCAATGAGTCACTAAAAGACTTCTTCGAAAGAACACGCCCATACTGGATAGGTGAAGTACACGAAGCGTTGGGCGAGTCTGGGAAGACGCTTCGTCGAATCTCATTCGAATGGGCGTACAAGAGATACTGGGAGATCAAGCCTTCTTTGAAGGAACTTGAAGAGTTAGAAGCTGAGCTGGCCAGAGAAGAAGAAATGGAAAAGGCCTTTGCGAAAGCCCAAATTGATCAGAAACGTGGTCGGAGTAGACGCTAAGCAGCCACACGATATCTTTCGGTACTGCGCAAGCCTCTAGTCATAATCGTCTTGTTGGCGTAAGATGCGACGAAGTCGCGACGGCTGCATGCGAAATGGTGACCCCGCAGTAACGAGACGAGTTCATTTGCGCTGCAACTGCTCACAGAGTCACATGGATTGCTCGCTTGCTGTCTCGTTATCTGTAGTTGCTGGAAGCAGGCAGGCATAGGCAACGGTGAAAAGAGGTTACAGCTAAAGAGGGCTATCGAATTCATCGTTCGATTCCAAATCGAGCAGCGTGTGTGGCATCGTGCTTATGTAAGCAGAGAATCGCAAAGCTCACATAGCAATGCACAAATGCCGTTGGACAACAGACATATACATAGCAACAGTACACAGTGTTCATAAAAACGCCAGAATTTGCAGGTTTTTAATGCTTGCTCAACGCGCGATGCCCGTTTTTCCCTCGCTCTCGGTGGTCATACATGACCATGCACCAGCAAACGTGGCCCATGGTGACTAGAGCCCCTTGACGAGTTTAATTGGAATTCAAAAGCGTCTTATGAGCTCTCCTGGCCTCGCCATGCTTCAGTGATCGAGCCACGGCCCAGTATGGGCTCTAGCGATCCTGCTCTGCGCGAGAGGTATCGTAATATTCTCAGCGCTAACTGCACAGCTGACTGCGATTCGCTTCGCCGCCTTGTACTGCTCGATGGCTTACCAAGCGACGCCAATGTCATTCACACCGATTTTTTCGGTCGATGCTCTCTTCGAGGCCTCGTATGGAAAGCTCTTCTTGGGATTGGCACCGTGGATGCAAACGAGTACGCCTCACTTGTGCGCGAGGGGCCATCGTCGGAGGACTCTCGTGTTCGTGAGGATGCCCGCCGCACCTTCTCGAAGAACGATGACTTCATCGCACGAGTACCAAAGGACAAAATCATTCGTCTCCTGAACGCTTACGTCCGCGCTTGTGGGAACAAACGTGGTGTCTACGCTCAGAGCATGAGTCTTCTGGCAGCTCCGTTCCTATACGTCATGCCAGAACCTGATGCGTTCCATTGCTTCCGAGTCTTACTGCAGGAGAAGGTGCCCTCGTACGTCAAAAGGTATTCAGGTGCGAGGCATGGATGTGAACTCCTCGACAGGTGTCTCCTAGACACTGACCCCTCCTTGCATCAGCTCTTCTCCCGTCACGGACTCAACGCCGAGGTTTACGCATTTCCAAGCATCTCATCACTTGGCGCATGCGTACAGCCTATGTCAGATACTGTGCGTCTCTGGGATATACAACTCGCGTTTGGAGTCCACGTGCACATTCTATTCACTCTTGCTAGACTACTGCTCTCAAGCGGCACCATACTGGAAACCGCCAAGAAGACATCAGCTGCTCCACTCGTGACAAGACAGCTCGAGCAAGGACTAGGTTTAGATGCTGAGACAGTCCTTGCAAAGGCAGTGCCATTGGCAAGTCAACTGAATCCTGATTTATACAGCGAGCTTGTCTCACACGTAACATACGTACCGAGTGACTCTACTGCCACATCCGAAATTACCGCCGATTGGCAACAAGTTGTCGGGCACTCGTCCGAATCTGGAGGGACCCAACGCCTCAATGGACCCAAAAATAATACATGGGAGGCATCAAGAAGGCTGGATCACAACAATTCCAAACCGAAGGTACCCACGGATAGAAAGTCCTCAGACGACGTGAGTTGAATTCAAGCTCGCGAAGGAAATGTATCACCGCTGAGATAAACCTTCGTGGAAGATAGGATGATGGGATGGGAACCATGGAGAGGCGCCTTTGGATTAGTGCACCTCTGTGATTGATTATGTGAATCAAGAGTTCCCCTCGATGCCGTATCACGCGAAAGATCCATCGTCTTCATCAGCAATGCGACCCAAGGCCGCAAACTTCAGAATCGGTTTTGCCAAACGTGACATGAACAAGTGAGGACGAAAGCTCAACAAACTCAGCTGAGCGAGGATGACCTGGGCTCGTGAGGGCTAAAGATATATTTTGTGCTGCCGCGGGAATTTAAGATGGTCGAAGACTGCTCTCTTGCCAAGTACGAATCGGTATCACCCCATCCGAATGCAGCATAACTACTAGAGATGGACACAAAAGCAAAACGTGTTGTTAGGCACTGGTGAAACATGACATGTAGTCTACAGTGTTCGGCACGACAGAACAGGCACCGGCGCGACGATTTCAATAAACGTGTGACGCTAACATTTAACACGTGCTACCCCTCAACGAAACATGTGTGACGATGGCAGCCATCCTATTCTTCACGGACCTTGGCTTTCCGCCTCCGTGATTTCTTCTCCGATTTCTTCCTCTTCGGAGTGCCTTCCTTCCTGTCTGACTTCGCGCTCTTCTGCGCTATGAAAGTGTCTTTTTGTACGCCGTCGACTTTTGAGGTGGTGTCGTCTGGCTGTTTGCTGTTCGGCGACGGATCGACTAGTTCGCAAAAGAAGCCATACCTTGCCCTGTGGAGATCCGCGGCTCCATACGCAATTCCTTCCGTTGATGCAACTCCTTCTGCCGCCTCGACAGCATTTTTCACAGAATCTAGCTTCCCCCCGGCCTCCGTGACATTGTTCTGCGTTCCATCCTGTACTCCCTTCAAAAGCGTCTGAATAAAATGGAAGGATTTTGAAGAGACCCCGGCTTGGACATGCACAGGGCCGTCAAAATGACGTTCGAAAGCCTGCGCAAGACTCGTTTGATTCCTACCGAGTCCCACAACTTCTGTTTCAGTTGCTGATGTCGAGGAGGTCGGGTATGAATAATTTGCAGCAATCGGTAAGCCGCTCGATCTGATTTTGTCCCCTCTACCCACATGCTCATGCTTACCAAGCAAACTCTCAAGTTTCCCTACAGTAGTCGACGAAAGAGATTTAAGTTGTGTCTCTGGTGACATAGAAGATGTCAATAGCGAGAGCTTGTCATCAGCACTGTCTGACACACTGTAGAAGCAGATGTCCAGGCTAGAATTCACGCACGCCAATGGTGGCGGCATTGCTTGGTCCATACTTGAATTTTCCACGAACTCTAGCGACATCACATCTGCCCCAGCCGTCAACCGAGATACTCTCAGAGGATATGGTGAGCTGGCATCGAAAAAGACAATCGCTGTGTCCAAAGAATTTGTTTTTGCAGAGGTTCCTGTGAAACTTGAGCCAGACTGCTCAACTGCTTCGAATTTTCGCTTCGGTCGCTCTCGTTTCGCAAGCTTATCACGGCTTTTCCGTGAATCCTTGCCTCCAGATGTACTCTGAGCACTAGGCGAGCGCGTCGATTTTGTAAATCGCCGCCGTGCTTTGGACAGAACTTCGTCATCCGAATAAACTTCTTGAAAATCGATCTGCTTCTCTTCAGCGCTGGTGTCCGCTACTGCTACAATTGATGGGATTTTCACGGCAATCGCGAAAATTCCATGTGTTTCATTTGTTGCAATCATCCCGGGATATGTCCTGATTCTCGACGACCATAATATTCCAAGCGTTATCGCGTTCCATACATATATTCCGGTCTCGGTCGCAGCTATGAACAGTGGGCATTGCTTGTACACAAAGGAAACCGACTTAATCTTTTCTTCAGACGGTGGATGCACAAGAGCGTGTAATAATTCCACTTTCACAGATGACGGTGATTCCAGCTCGGGCCTTTCGTCTGCATCTGCGCCTAGGTGTTGAGTTGTAGAAGTACCAGCCATCAAGTCTTCAACGTGCCATACAGTGAGAACACTTCCGCAGCCGACACCTAAAATAGAGCCGTCGTTTGAAAAACATGCGCTTGTACAAGGTAGGCCTTTGTATCCAAGTTGTGCTTCGCTTCTCCATATGGACCTTTCCCCCTTTATCCCTTTTACTTCCCGCCATAGTTTAAACTTGCCATCACATGACGTAGTCACGACAACGGGTTTTCTTGGGTGAATGCAAACGGAAGATATTCCATTTCCAACGCCATGAGGCTGTCGAAACAAAGATACCATTGACGGGACATCATTGTTTGGCTCAAGATTCCAAAAACGCAAAGTCGTAACATCTTTTTCGATATCAAATTCTTTGCTTGGGTTTGTGCAAAGGAATTGTTTGTCCACTGTGACCATGACGTTCCCAGAAGGGCCCAGCTTCACGAGAGTAGTAATCGGCGGGGCTGGACGTTTAGCCTGCCCACGAATTGTTTTGGGTCCATGAACAATATTGCCAGGAATTGTGCATGCATCGCTGATGTGCTTTCCTTTGAACAGATCGTAGCTCTGAACCTTGCTGCCCGTACCAAAAATCATCACGTAGCCTTCGCGTCTCGGATCCCGAGTAATTCCCATGAATGGATTCTGATTTCGGTGGAGTTGTGATGACAGAGAATGAGCGTGATCCATAAGGTTTAAGTTCCCGATAATTGCTTGTATACCACGGATTGTTGAGGTTATCGTGCGAGAGGCTTGATCCACTAAGCGCACGGAGTTATCGGCTTGAGTTAGACAGTACAGGGATTCGTCATTCGAGACAGAAATCGCCAGTATCGGTGCTCCCAAACGAGGGAGGAAACTTTTCGTGCCGAAGTGATTTCTAGTCATCTGCCATGTTACGAGCGCTGCCTCTGCGCCGCCCGATACGAGAACGTTGCCGTCATGTGAAAAAGACAGGGCTCGCACTGCGGATGAGTGCCAATGAAGTTTGGAAGACGGTGCAGCTGATTGTTCCAGTCTGACAGATCTCGGAGCATTAGGAAGCAGACTGCACGGATTGCGATAAACAAAAACTGCTCCAGCCTCATCCCCAACGGCAACCATCGCTCCATCGCTACTCACAGAAACGCAAGTAAGCCAAGAATAATGTCTGACGACCGCGGCGCAGCCCTGCTGACCTTTCCCGGTTGACCTCAGTTGCAATAAATTGGACTGTATCATGGCTATATAGCTACCGCTGGACGGAGCAGCGACCGCCGAAACAGCGGTTTGCAACGATTTCGGTTTGAAGAGGGTTCGTATTCTTGACTTTTCTTGCTTCGACAAGGACACAACTAACAAGGCAGCTTTTCCCACGCAGGCTACCTTGTTCGGTCCCGCTTGACACATTGACAATATTTCCTGCCCAACGTCGATGGTTCGCAGGCAGCTTCCGTCAGAGATGTCCCATACTCTGACAGTTCCATCTTGAGACGCAGACACTACTCGCATATTTCCAGCGGGTACTACTGCCACGACTTTTGCGGAATGCCCTTGAAGAGTGGCGATACATGATGGGTCCTCATCTGAAAGCAAGAACACCCGCAGAACTCTGCCGAATGGGATTACGATATGGCGCCCGGATGAAGGCCATGCCACTGGGCTTGTGGCCACCAAGCCAGTAATTGGATTTGAAGTCATGTGGTGTCAACTTTTCCGGTGTTGAAGGCTTGCTTTCGTATCGGAGATAAATGGCCTTGCCACGGAGACGGATTTCGCGTAGGGGACGTCGGCGGTGGCGTATCTATTACAAACTTAATCATACTGCCGCACTGTGCCAGAGAGGACTCATGCTGGGTTGAATCCACAGCACCGTACGTGTACACCAACGACGCGAATGTTTCGGTACTGTACACGTGTACAGTACAGCTCTGTTCGTCTGAATAGGAAAACTCGGCATGGAAATGGGTTTCCAAATTTTGCTCTTCTCCTCGACACGAGCTGGTAGGCATTCTAACTCAACTGAACTTATACCGCGAATACCACCTACTCACGTTAGCGAAGTGTGTGCCCCATGAAATCTTGCGCCTACACATCCCTCACATTCGTCCCTTCTTGGTAATGTCCATGGACGCTTTGAGACGGACATCTGCGTCGCAAAACAAGTTCCAATAGCTGATATCATCATGCATGGAGGGCGTCGAAATCTCACAAGCGGTGAAGAACCCAACGCCTTTCGACTAGCACATGCGGCACCACCATTCGGTGCCCCAATTTCTTCGCTAAGCAAGGGTACTAGATATGCTTTTGGCTCTGAATATCCCGCGGCGTCCCATTCTATATTTTCACGAGTTGCACCTGACTTTCAACCCTCACAATCCCATCCCTTTGAACCAGCCTCATGGTTAATCGCCTCAGATTTGTCTTCTCCGTCCTTCAGCGCTCACGACTTCCTTCAGAGTGCTCTATTTCAAAGATATGAAGCCTCTCGTCCCTCTCATCTTCCGGTCCTTGGCGATTCATTCAACGCTGATGCTGCACTTGCGGCCCTTGACACAGTCGAATCTGGACTCAGAAGACAGAGAGACGTTTCAAAGCGCGAAGAAGACCTCGCTCGCGATGAACTACGAAAGGTTTTGCATTTGTCAGCAAAAAAGAAGGAACAGCTTGTTCGTGCAGCGGACACAGTGTCGGCCAACGTATCTGCACTTGGTGAGGCCGGGCGCCAGGCCGCCCTCGCACTCAACGCTGATGTTAGTACTTTGCGAACTAGCGCAAGTCAACTGGCAACGCTGCAGGATACCCGCGACCTTGTCTCGTTACTGACAACAGAAAGCAGCGAATTAGATGTCGTTCGTGTAAGTCGATTGCTCTCAAAAGCTCGAAACCACTGCGAAGATGGATCTTTAGCGGCAGTACTATCTGAGGATGATTATCTCGTTGCCCGCGAAGAAATTGAGAGATGTGAGAATGAACTAGCTTCCTCTCTAGATTCTTGGATGAGAAACTCTGTTGATGCCGGAAACAATAACATCGTCAAAGAATGTGCCATGGCTGCGGAAGAGCTCAACATATCTGCTTCATTCATAGACTCCTACATATCCTACATATTTCGCTTGGATCACACTGGTCCTGATGACAGCAATGGGGCGCTGAGAGGTATAGAACACATGAATTCACAGGATATGCTACAGAAATTCCGTATTGCAGCCTGGGAAACTGTGAATTCTGTCGGAGAGATGATACCCTCAATATCACAATCTTTCAATAATTCATCAAAGACCATGATTTCTTTATTGCGTCTGTTGTCGGAGAGGAAAGTCATTCCGATTGCGGACCATACTATGCATTCGCTTCTTTCACAGCACGTTTCCACCACATCGTTGAACAATGACAGAGCAGATGACTTCTTATCTACAACACCAACTAGGTATGCTACGGCCCGTGATTCTGTTGAAATCTTAAGATCGCTTTCAATCACAGAGAACAGGGAAGAGAAGAGGGAGGAGGCCGATTCAGTGCTTTTGCAAAAAAGGCAAGATTTGACCGTATGTGGCGAAGTTTTTAAGTCGATGGGAAAGCTAAGGAATGACCTCCTTGTCCAATGTTCAATACCAGAATGCAATCACTCGAAGATATTCCAAGAGCAAGGCATGGACCCATTTATTTGCTTCGCAAGAAAATGGGTTCCTCAACTCTTGAGGCAAGAAAAGGCCTGGGTCGATCAGCAACTTGGTGCGGCTTTCTTCGATATCACTCGGGTAGAAGCAAATGCTCCCAGACTAGCACCTCGGGAGAATAGTGATGCGGCAGCTTATCATCGATATCGGTCATTCTACAGTCAAATCTCGTCCAGATATTTGCAAATGACTGGCAATGCAATTGAGAGTACACATGAATCGCTTTGCCGTATAGCAACGATTTTGAGCACGGTTCTATCCATAGAATCACTGTCTTTAAAGGACTTTGTAGCATCCTTCACAGAAGCCGAACAGTCTCCAATGCATGAGAATTCGCTTCTTGAGCACATTTCAGAGTCCGTTCTCAAAGCAGAAAGGTTTCAAGAACGGCGGGAAGTGCTTACTGAAGGGACTGCGTCGCCCAAGATAAATACGACGATGAGTTCGAAACATGCCATCGCCGAAATATCCGCTGTTCTTCGTGAAATGCTAGATGGCTTGGTGATATGCTATCTGGCGAACGCGGAGACAATCTTGCAAGCAGCCTCTCACCTGCTACCCATATCCGAGGCTGATGCGCAGGCACATGACCTCTGGGTAAGTGGGGTTTCCCCACTCACAGCGTATATGCAAGCTGTTGAAGTTTTATTGCGATCAAACCAAGCACTGAGTGAGTTCCTTTTGACTCTTGAATTCTCCGACCATGTCTCACAATTCAGTAGCCCCTCATTGAGCCCAGAAGATGAATTAGCTATGTACATTCCTTCAAGAACAAGAGAGCGTCTACATAGAGACTTGACAACAGGTCTTTCTGATCTCGGTGCGGAAGCGCAAGTTGGAGTACGAGCTGCGGTAACATCTGTGCGCGCCCGTTTGTTTGCGATGCTATCGTCGAAAGATGCAATGCAGGCTTACGTGTCACTGAACCGCGATGACTCGGCAGTTTTCAACGAGAACCTCAAGCAAGGGCCCTCCAGCCTTGGCATGGATGTAGAACCGTCGCCAGCGTTTTTAAATGCATCAGCCTTTGTGGAGCAGCAACTACACTCAGTGCTATCAAATGTCCACAGTGCAAATCGAGAATTTGTCATTTCAGAACTCAGCGTCATCGCAAAAGAAACCGTTCTACAACACTGGTGCTTATGCGCAGGTCCTTTGTTCCTAGCAGGTGCGTTCCAACTCATTGCTGACGGAAGGGCGATGGCTAGGGTTTTCCAAGATCATCGTCAGATCGCATCTGTCATTGACTGTTTGCCCGCTGTGGGTCAACTCTACCTGGAAAGTGCTGACGATCTGTGGACCTGTGTTGAGTCGAAGTCCCTCTCAGGGGTAGAAGCAAGAGTCCTCGTACAACTTCTCAAAAAGCGGGAAGACCACCATGTCGACCGGGTTGTGAAAGTTTGTCAGTCTCTCGGAGCATCGCTGGATGAGCTCTAAGGAGACACTTCCACAGTCTTTGAAATTTAACTCTATATGATGCATCGAACGAACCACTCCTGTGTCTGCGCTGTGAATAACACAATAGAGCATATGTAGCGGGAACGCGAAGTATCCTTTTTGGTCTTGTTCCGAAACTGTTGCAATTTGTGACATTTTAAGGAGTAAGGTCTAGCTTTGATGCATAGCACATCTCAAACTAAACTAGCGGAACAGGCCAACTGTTTATATATTTCATCATCTGAGTGTGTGTACCGTAGGAGGCTGTGTTGAGTCAACCGCTTCAGGTCGTTTTTAAAGGGCCTGAGTGACCCATTTATGCACGCTCACAATGGGCCACCTCGATATGTGTAACGTTCGAAGAGAGACCTAGCTACTCCATTTGTGGTACGGGTATGTTTGGACAGTAGCCAGTTCGTCTATTTGACATTGGGGGCAATGCCAACAGTGTTGGTACGGCATCCGTGACCCTCATCTCCTTTCTGCTGTAGCAAACTGAGGCATACGCCTGCCAGCGAGAGCTTCGAATGGCAGGCCGTAATACAGCACCCAATTTTCTGCTTGAAAGCCCTTTCAACTTGGCCGGATATTCAGATGATGCAGTTGAGAACGAAACCCCAAACTACGATGGCTTAGAAATGACTGTTAAGTCAGTCAGATTCACGGTTCCAGAACAACTCTCCGCACAGAAGCCCATGAACAAAAAAATGAGCGAAGATGACTTTTCCGTCGTTCCTTGTGAATATAGAGAAGACGGGAAAGTGGAATCTTTTGGTTCCACGAACAGCGGTGCCGTTTCAATTGACGTGAGTCCAAAATGCTTCACAAAGTTGGAAATCATTTCCGCAAAAGAGATCGCAAAACTGTTGAGATGGTTTCACGGAGCCATCTTTTTCGGTATCGCTTTCTCAATTCTTTTTGTTATTCTCGCGAACACGGTTTACTTGGAAAAGGATGTAGTGGGCAACAGCACAGCTAGATACTACAAGCTTTCATCTCAATGGGAAATAACTCTCTCTGTGACAAGCATATTGTGTTTTGTATATGCAGTTTGTCTCGCAACTCTCTACACGTCTAGGATGGTGCGCTTCAAGCGCCAAGACAGAACACATGAACAAGTATGGGTAATACTACTAACAATAGCGGCAGCCATGTATCTTAATCCACATGAAAACATTGTACGGATAATGAACGAAGCAGGGTACAGTCTTGACACTGCGCAGTGGTACAAACCGATCTCGCGTATGTATGATTCTATCAGAGATACATCGTTTACTGCAAGTACCTTGTTCTATGTCTGGGCGACAGTACATTCATATCGCATTACCAGTGGTAAACTGGGCTTTTGGTTTTATCTGCCGAAGGTCACGTTTGTCGTCTTCTATGTGTTGATCAAACAGCTTGCGTTTTGGAGATTCAACATTTACATGTCGGAGATGCCTATCGCCAGTGGAGTCGCAATGCTCTATCTATACGGGACACTGAAGTTATGGCCACTGTCAGGTGTCCTTTGTGTCATAGCAGTGACCTTGTTTGAACTCGCACTGGGGGCTTGGATCGTGCACCAAATCAATATCACCCGCAGCTTCCTAAAAGGCATAGACTACATGAAATATCGCACGAAACAAATTGGGCTACGCTTTTTCTTATACCACAACCTCACATTCTACATCGTTTTTTGGTCCTGTTACCTTATTCTTTTGCTTGGACTCCCCCCGGGAGCTCAGCTTGTTGCAATGCAATTCTTCAAGGTGTCTTACGTGGAAGTCCAATATGTGCAATTTGGATTAGCAATTCTGTACCTTTCTTACGTTACGGTTGAAGCATACGTGAATCTTCCCGCGGATGCCATTGGTCTCCGTGGTTGGTTGCAACCCCAGTCCCCAAAGCTTGATGGACTTCTAGAACCGATTTCGTACAGAAAAAGAGAAATTAGAGCTCAAGAGTTGCAGACTAATTGTTTCGTCATGGAAACTCATGTTATAATGTTTAACTTCGCCTGGCTTGTGTACTACCATAACACACCGAAAATGTCAAAGTTGAAAAGCAGCGGGGGATTCAATTTGGCATATGTAGTCTCTGAACAAGTTTCAAGCCCAGAAACAGACACGCATGCACTACTGATTGACAGAGAAGATCGTATTGTAGTATCCTTCAGAGGGACAAACAGCTGGAGGAATTTACAAACTGATTTGAAGGCATTTCATGTGAAGATGAATAGAGTTCTCCCAACTGCGTCAGATGGGGCGTTTAATTCCAATGAAATGTCTTTCGGAAGCGTATCGCACGCTCTTTTAGAGAGTCGAGATGGCAATGACGCCAAATTGCATCGTGGATTCGCTGATGCGTACAGGAGCGTCGCGGAAAGAGTCATGACAGGGATTCGAGAGATGCTCAGTGATCACCAGCGTCCTGTTTTTATCACTGGTCACAGCCTTGGTGGGGCTTTGGCAGTGATCTGTGCTTTCGATTGTGTGCTGACATTGGGCCTGTCTGCTAAAGATCTGTACGTAGCAACGTATGGCTCACCACGAGTCGGAAACGCGGCCTTTCGTCGACTCTACGACGAAAGCATTCCAGCCTCCTGGCGAGTGTCTGTCGCACCAGATATCGTCGCGAAATTGCCAAAGGTGGGGTATCAGCATGTAGGGAAAAAAGTCATGTTGACAACTGCAGGAGATCTTTTTATAAGCCCAAATTCTCTAGAGCTGTCATTAGGGGATGGAGACGCTACCTCCCTTATCTACCATAGAAAGGCGTCATATCTGCTGGCCATGCGCTCCTGGTGCAACCGGCACGACAATGGGTCTTACAAACCCAACTTCTGGGACTGGCCTTTTTCTGCGGATGACAGGCGACGATGGCCTGATGCTGTTTCAAAGAAGGCTAGAACAAATGATAGGGATCGACATCGTCGCAACTTGCTTCATCAAGATGCAATGATTGATGCAATGAATGTGTCTAGGACGGTTAATTCAAAAGACCGCGCTATCGGAAACTGGTCAAGGTTGTGTCGTCGCCTCCTCTTGAACGAATCTGTACATAGAATAAGATAGGGTGGTCACCGCAAATCGCTGTGGAAGCTCGTGTGATTGTATTTCCAGTCTTAATGCGGACAATTGCAGCCTTGCCATGAATGTTATCCCCGGCAACAAGAAACAGAATCAGATGAGTCCCTTTCTACAGGCAGTGCAATAACAGAGCGCCGGTCGTCTCTCCCAGTTATATGATCAACTTTCCATGTACATTAGACGAGGCCTTTGACAGCCAGCGCATTGTACAATGTGCCGTTCTTCTCTTTCAAGTATGCTATCAACTTTCCATCTGAATGAGACTGAGCCTTCAGCTTCAAAGACTGAGCAAAGCGATCTAAAGCGGCGGCGGCATCTTCCACTTGAGACTCTTGTTCAACAAGAATCTCTAGCTCGCCAATGCTATACTGAAATCCGTCGTCAGCAGTGCAAGAATCGAGAACGACTTCGATTTGGCGGGAATCCCAGACGCAGTGCAGCTTTGTTCGCTCTGTGTGAATTGTGGCATACGGAGGGAGGTTCTCAATATCTGTTTTGAATTGCGACAATTCTTTCCATAGAGTGGGCTCGACCAATTCGCGATATACGGTTGTGCCTGGCGTTCTGATGCGCCTTTGCACTATTGGTATTTTCAATTCCCAGGTTCCATTGCGTTGTCTCAGCCACTTGTCCTCAAGAGCCAGATCCTCGCACCAATAGCAGTCTTTAAGCTTGACCAGACATCTAGAGGAACATCTCTGTTCGAGCTCGGACCTAACCTCGGGGGAGACTCGGAATTTGCGCTCGACCTCGATCATTTTCATGCACAGATAACGGGTACGTAAGCGGCTCAACCGAACGTTTGGGAGTTTGGTCGACGTTAACTGAAAGAAAGGGCCCCTCGCGAAATCATACACGTAGCTTGGCGGCAATTGAATGAGGAATGCGATCATTTGCCTTTAGAAGCGGTGTTGGTTGAAAACATAATTAGGGACGAGGCGTCGAGAGTAGTTTCATGCGTAACCCCCAGCAGTCGCAAGGTCCTGTTTGACACCTCCAAGCCCGACAAGGCACAGCCGATGGATGCGATGCGATGCAGTCACTGAGCAGAGATATCGCAGGGCGAATATCGGATTACTGTACGGTGCACGTTGTACAACTGCGACCAAGACGTTTTTATCCTTTTCTGCACTCCAGCAGGCCCCTCGATGAACAACTGTACGTCGTACTGTACAGCTGTACGTTGTTTTTAAAGAAGCATACAGTTGTACAATATATACATGTACAGATAGTAGAGTGCCATGACAAGTACAGTACAGTGGACACTACGCATTAGTGCCGCCCTGTGCGAATACTTGAAAAACGGCACTACTCTGGGGCGGCAGTGATCAGTTGGGTGAACTATTGCCCGTCCAAAACTCCGTTATTATTAAAGGCTTTACGCACCAAGATTTCTGGAATGTATGTGACAAATACTCTGTAAAGAAAATTTGCAGTAAGGTCAATTTGCCACACGTTCCATTTTAGTTTACGCATGGACTGCGCGGATCGTCATATGAGTATTACGAAGGAGTATTACGACGACAGCCTACAGTAGGACGCTAGTCCCATTTTCCACTGTTGAGGCAACATGCTACACCGCGGAAGACAACGCGACCACTCTGTGTCCATCGCAGCCGTGCGATTCCGCAAATGGCGTGTTGCCCTTCGCACAATCGCACATCGCCGCCTCTCCGCTCCGGGATCTACTATAGGGAGCACAAGCGCTCTCTCTGTTTGTGTCAAGGGCTACACAGCGCAGCGGCAAGAATACACACGATACATTAGACGATCTAACCGTATATCTCTCTCCGAGTTCTCCTTTAACTTTAATGCATTGACTAACGCTTGTTGTTTATCGTTCTTTCGGTTTACGAAGAGCGATCTTGCTAGGATGGTCACAGCGGTGGGTTGGGTTGGGTATGTTACAAATCGGAACAGGTATAGGTGCAGTCCGTTGTTAGTCGCATGCGTCATACTGAGGCGCTTAAGCACGCCCAGCAGGTGGCGGGATATGGAGTTTCTGTTTGGACGGCATGGGGCGCAGCTCTCTGAAATTTTCTGGGAGGGTATAGAGCAGATGCTCCAGGATCGCGTCGAATTGATAACAGGACCCATGCATGCCTCTTTCATTTGCGAACGGGCATCAGGTTACGCCCATGCTGTAAAGGAAAAGTGTGACGCGCTTTCTAACTGCGTTGGTTTTATTGACGGCACTGTAATCGCAATTGCTCGGCCATGCGGTAGCGCCGTTCAAAATGTTGCCTACAATGGACACAAGCGCAAGCACGCTCTCAAGTATCAAGCCGTTATCGCGCCTGATGGATTATTGCTTCACGCGGCGGGTCCCATGGAGGGACGGCGCCATGATTGGACACTTTACTGTAGAAGTGGTCTCGATGAGGAGCTGGAGGAGGTCATGGTGGTGGATGGTTTGCAGTATTGTCTGTACGGGGACTCAGGATATAACGAACGCAACTTCTTGGAGGTCCCCTTCCAGGGGTCACAATTGACTGGATACCAGAATGCTTTCAACAAGGCTATGTCGAAGGGAAGGGTTACTGTGGAATGGTTTTTCAAGGAAGTCAAGCTTTACTGGTCGACGGTAGACTATCGTCGAAAGATGCGAACGGGGGAATCTCCGGTCGGGGCACTTTACCTCGCTGCGATGCTGCTTACAAACTTTCGCAATTGCGTATATCCCAACACCATCTCGCAGTACTTCCTCTGCAAGCTTCCAACTCTCGAGGACTACCTAGCTCACAAAAACAACTCAATGCTCGCGCAGGAGAGCGAGGAGTGAGGACAAAGTCCGCGTGCCGAGAGGAGCGAGTTGCCGAGCGTAGCGAGAGCGGACTTCGTCCGTAGCCCCGCAGGGAGCCCTGCGCGAGCAGACGCTAGGCCGGTTTCGTTGTATCTTCTCTAATCGGAACGCTCCGTCGAGCCGTAAAATGACTGTTCAGACCCGTTGGTTGATGCCTAGCTACTTCCCTGCGCATCCATTATAGAATCCATCATGATCTTCATTTTGTTCAGATCAAGCTCGTTTTGCGCTTGGCGCTCCATACGTCTCTCCTCACGATCCTTCTGCCGTTCCTCTGTCTCTCGATCCAGGCGATGGCGTTCGAACTGAAGGCGCTCGCGTTCAAGCTCAATACGCGCCATTTCGGCATCGCGCAGCGCGTTTCCGAAACCCTCAAGCTCCCCTTCTATCTCGTCGTAAGCACGTGCTTGGCGACGCGGTTTCTTGCGGGCACTTCCATTGCAATCGACCTCCACGATGTCATCCGTTTCATCTCCTTCCAGGCTGCTTACTCCACCACTGCCCTTGCGGGTCAGAGCCCGCGCGACGAGTTCCTTCCCAATACGCTCTTTGCGAGCTTCTTTCGCCTCGGCGGCAACGACTTCTGCTGTCTTAGCCTTCTCGACGTCATTCCTTGCTTCTGCCATCATAGAGAGCAGCTCGCCCAGCTCACCTATCTCTCCACCCACACCCGAAAGCCGGCTATCCTTTGCATCACGACGGCAGAAGGCATCCTGGATCTTTTTGTAGCGATCCTGGATGCTCTTCGCCGTCACTTTGACCGATAGATCCTTGTTCGAGTTTGCCTTAGTCGCGGCGGTGGCGAACATCTTCTGAATTTCGCCATAGGCAGCGACGTGGGCCTTCGATGCGGCAACCTCCCGCGCGATGATCAGGTCATCGCCAGCCGTAAACTTAGGGCGGCGACCGGTCTTACGCGCGGAAGACGGTCGGCGGATAGGGGGAGCGGGCGCGGCAAGCGCCTCCGTCGGTGGTGATTCCGGAACGAACGCCGGGCCTTTGATGAGAGCTTCGGCGTCGGGGGTTAAAGGGGGACTAGCATCGGGGGAAGGGTGGGGAGAACTAGGGGTGGACACCTCTGCCATGCTGAAGGAGAGGGAGAGCGGAGGATAGAGCTTGGATGGGGGAGCTGCGAGCCGTGACACCTTTCTGCAGTACCGTTCTCCCGCCTTTTTGTGTACACGTTTTATGAATCAGATTGCAGAATGGACTTCACTGTGAAGTCACATTTCAGTAAACTTTGTCATGGCCTCGGCCAAGATTTCATTTAGTGTAAGCAGTTTTCGTCACAACTTTAATTTTTGTTGCAGAAAACCGTGGTGCGTAAAGTCTCTATTGAAGTCTGTTATCCCTGTGCGAGTTTAGTGACGATTTGGCGTCACTATATTTTAGTGACGTTTTTTGTGAAATCTCAATGAGACGGTGGCCAGCCGTCACAAAAGGGCACAAGTTTTGAGAAATCTCAAACGTTTTGTGTCCCTTTTTGAGAAAATAGGAGAGTTCTACAAAATCGTCACTATGATGGGCACTCAGTGAGAAATCTACAAAAGTTTAGGGCAATGTTTGAGAACAATGTGAGAGTTCTCAAACATCGTCACTATACGGCATTTTTTCTACTTTTCGTGACGACGACGGAGATTCTCACTGGCTGCTTCAGATCCCTCCGTCGTTGTAGACGGTCTTCTCTCACTCTTGAGATTCTACAAGCGCCTGTAGAGGCTCTAGAGGGCAATCTACCGGCTTCCTCTTCTGTGCATTGCGAGATAGCCAATGTCAAGTCGGAATGTCTCAGCTGATGCTCAGCCCTTCTCTGGCGAGGGCTCCATTTCATTGGACCCTCAGCAGCCCCTTTCACCTCAACCCAGTGCGCAGCCCCTTTCATTCCCCATTGATAGCCAGGAGCTCACTCCACTCGGCAACAGATGTCAACCCCTATCCGGTCCCGTACAGGAACAGGAATTGCGCTGCATGGAAATAGCGCCTGTGCTCATGAATATTGATAGTAGTCCCAGTTTGTTTCAGGAAATATCTGAGACGCCTCCTATCTCTATCGTGCCAGTGTGCTCAGGACAATCTTTCTCAGACACTCAAGATAGAAGTACTACGGTGAACAACTCCAGCTATCAAGCTGAGATTAATGGTGATTCTCTCGATGGAAGCGATATACCCTATTCGCAGGAGCAGGATGTTGCAGTGGCTGGCAGTGGATCCTCAGGAGATAGCACGTCGTCCTGCACGGGAGAGGTTGAAGCCACTGTTACCCCTGCTGAACTTCAGCAGTTACAACCTTTGCGTTCATTTATAAGCAACAACGCTAATATAAACTCTGATGCTGGCGCACTTTGTGAGGACTTATGGAGTGGTATATTTCATGACTACGATGAAGAAAGATGTGCTTTAGGAGCTTTACACGCACCAACAAGTACTGTGGACGCACATATGTCTGGTGGAGACATAACCGAGGATCTCCTGGAGGAAAGGGCAGTTAATCATCAGGAGGGGGGCTTCAACATTGGACATACAAAAGCCCGTTTGCAGAAGTAGAGGTGATTGTGGATGAAGTGGACTCCGTGTTAGAAGACCGTTTTATTACTGAAGCGAATTCCATTCTAGATAATGTTCTAGAAGAGGTTAACAGCTGGGAGAGCGCCTGCCCGCACGAAACTATGGACTCCATGACTGTTTCGTCCAGAAACGACTGCAGTACACCTCGCCAAGTGAAGCCTTTGTCGAGGCTGTCTGTTTTGAGAACATTTATACCGGACAGTCTGCTGGAGAAGCTCAAAGCCGTCGCCAATAGGGCTCTTCACAGCCGAGGTCAAAAGCTCACAACAGTTCAAGAGTTACTAGGACTTTTGGTATTGCTCGTTCTCTGTGCATCGTACAACGAGGGACCTTCTGTTGTCTGTGGCGCTAAAATGAGCGACTTTTTCTTTCATATGGGACTTTCTGCAGCACGCTACCGACAGGTGTGGTCGGCGTTGACGGGTTGTAGGGAGAAGCGCACTGCAGTTGACTATTCAACTACTGGGTGGTGTCGGACTGCTTCACGGACAACATCACTAATAACAGATATTGAGTCTGAGGTGG